ATAAATAGAATGTAAAATGTAATGCTTATTACCATTAATTGAGGTTTAACTCCATATAAAATAATATTCATCTTAAACATCCCACAAGAAAACAGTTTCAGAACCTCTTTGACTCTATGTAGTTCTTGCTTGATGGCATATTTTGCTTATTACTTTGCAGTCTTTCAAATTATATATAACAAATGCGTTAGTCAATGTTCCATACTTTTTAAAAAATATTTTGAACGTCTATAATAGATGCACATATCGTGATATTTTAGTTATTTGATTTTTATATTTTAATCGCTGCATTTAATGATTACTGCTTAATGGGATAATTGGATAATGTGATTATATTAATATATCTTTTATAAAGGATTTTTAAATAAAAATTTTTGTGATTCATGGTATACAGCCAGCTACATGAAATAATTTTCCTTGTGAAATGTAATAAATGACAGCTGACTCTAATCAGTTGCTTGCCTGTTTATTTATCTAATATTGACCATTAAACATTAAGCAAGTTTTTACACAAATCTTTTTATTACGGATCTGGAAAATTGCTTAAGGCGTTTATTATAAAAACGATATATCAAATTATTCAGGAAGTAACAACAGAAACACGTTTATAGTGCGCATTATGGTATCGATAATTATTAGCAAAAGAACTGTTTGCGGTTAAAATCCATTTAAAATTCAAGATATTCCTCCTTATATCAGACACGGTAGAATAACAACATTGTCCGATTATTCTAAATTACAAATTGTTAATGGTTTTTTAAGCTTTTTGATATAATTGCAGGTGTTACATCATGCTTCTAGTTTTATTGAGTATCATAACAGTATTGAATAATAAAATGAGATAAATTTTACGAAAAAGAAACAAGATACAAACAGAAACTGTGTAGACAGCCAACCCTTTTTTACTTTTATAGTAATTAATTTGAAGCAATAAGAAGTCAGGAGACTTTTCTTAGATGGCGAGTTACGTGAATTGCAAATCCAAGGACACTAGAAGTTATTGGACGATGATAGGATTATTTCTAACCTTTTATTCCAACAATACATCTACAGTTTACCTGTGAAAAACACCATCTTTTGTACTCCATAGTAGAAGAACAGACGTTTAGATGAAAGTAGACGATTGCATTTCCTTTCAATTAGAGCTCCACCATTGTTCTGTACGTGTTTCGAGAATTTACCTCTCATCAGGAACACTTGTGGTACTTCGATCTTCATCTATATAAGCCACTGTACAATAGCTTTTAGTACGCTTGTAGGAAGGGAGTAGGACAAAACCAAGTACAAGTTGAAAAAAATCGTCGTATTTGAAATAATTTTGGAAATAATTTTGGGAAAGTAACATATTGATATCTACCGGATGATAGCTATCGAACTTAGACGTTAAATTGTTAAGCTATCAACCGGTAGATAACGCAGGATTCCGAAAGGGTTACAGTATAGCGGATCATCTTCTTACAGTCAGAACTCTAATAGAGAAAGCCATTGAATATCATTTGAACTTATACATTGGCTTCGTTGATTATGAAAAGGCATTCTACTTCATAGAACTTTGGGTAATAGAGAGAGCTATGAACAACTGCAGGATATACTCCCGATACAGAATGCTCATACATAATATTTACAAGAAAGCTACAATGAAAATACAAATAGATGCTAAAACCAAAGCTATACCAATCATCAGAGGAGTTTGCCAGGAAGATGTTATCTCACCAAAGCTTATTCATTCTTGGACTGGAAGACGTGTTTAAAGATATTAACTGAGCAGATAAAGAAATAAATGTTAATGGAAGAAAACTGAGTCATGTAAGATACGCTGATGACGTTGTAATATTTGCTACAAGTTTTGAAGAACTACAGACCATGATGACGCAACTATTTCAAGCTTCGGAAAAAGTAGGTCTTAAGATGAACTTGGAAAAAACAAAAATATTGACAAACTGAACATTAGAGAAATAACATTGAACGACATAAATTTAGAAACAGTAAGCTAATACATCTACCTGGAACAGATAATAAACGTTAACAAAGAAAATTAAACTGCCGAAATTACCAAAAGAATAAGATTAGCGTGGGCAGGATTTGGAAAACTGAGTTAAAAAGAACTAAAATAGAATAATATTTGAAAACCAGAATTTAAGATCAGTGTATCCTCCCCATACTCACGTATGGCTCACAGACGTAGACACTCACCAAGTCTAACATGGATAGAATAGTAAAAGTACAAAGGACGATGGAAAGATCAATGCTCGGGTGAGACTTAAGTATAGACAAAAAAAGAAACAAATGGATTAGAAGCAAAACGAAAGTAAAAGACGCAGGAGAACCAACATCATTTTGGCTTTACAACCCTGTGTGGGTCCTAGCCTTCCCAAGAATTCTCTTCCAGTCGTTCCTATCCATCGCCTTCCTCCACCAAGCACGTATTTCCATATTTCTCCATATGCAGGAGAACATGCTGTCAAATTGAAACGGAGCTTTGCAGGACACAATGCCTGACTGAAAGATAAGAGATGGAACCATGAAATACAACAATGGAGACCATGGTTAGGAAAGAACAGCAGAGGAAGACCACAAATGAGATGGGCGGATGATATTAAGAAGATCAAAGGACACAACTGGAAACAAGTGGTGCAAAATAAAAGACACTGGATTGATTTGGGGGAGACGTATGTCCAAAGTTGGATTACTTAAGGCTGAAGAAAAAGAAAATATTTATATTGCTAGTTTTAATGTCAGAACCCTCAAATTACCTGAATAAATGGAAGAATTGGAAGAAGAACTAACTAGAATCAAATAAGATGTCCTTGGTCTTAGCGAAACGAGACTACCAGTAGAACAATGTGCAATACTCCATTCTGGACATAATATGTTTTATCAGTCCTATAAAGAGTAAAATATACATGTCGGCGGTGTAGCACTATTGGCCCATAAAAGAATCAAACATCTGGTCACAAAAACTACTGCAATCTAGGAAAGGGTCTTATACATTATTCTTAAAATATTATAAAGTTAAAGCATCCAAATAATTCAAGTATACGCTCCCACTTTCCAATCAACAGATGAAGAATTCGAGAAATTCTATGAAGATTTTTCGACGACAATGACAGAAAAAGCTCATTTTAGAATAAAGCACAGGTACTTTTACTACTTAAAGGAAAAATGAGCAGGAACTTTTACTACCCAAGGAAGGAGACAAACACAAGCTCGGAAATTACAGACCCATAAGCCCGTTACCACATCCGTACAAACTGTTTGCCAAAATAATTACCAATAGACAAGATACCAGCCTGTAAAGGTTATACTACCATAGAACACCTCTAGACAATACGGACACTTATCGGAAAGTTTAACGAATACAAAGAATTTCTTCACTTGGCATTTGTGGATCACAATAAGGCATTCGATTCCATAGAATTCTGGGCTATATTAGAAAGCAAGGATTGATTCCAGATATAGAATACTTCTTAAATACATATACGACAATACAACTATGCAAATAAACCTAGTAGGAATATCACGAAAACGGTGGCTAGAAGACATCAAAGCAAAAGTGTGGAGATACTGGCACCAAATAGCACAAAACAGAGTAGAGAGCTCATGGAGAGGTCTTTGTCCAGGAGTGGATGTAAACAGGCTGAAGAAGAAGAGAATAGAAGAGAAGCAGAATGGTATAAGCTCTGGAGAATTAAAGTCCTCATTCCTTGAGCCTTTGTCGGGACGTGGTGACACCCGAAGTATTATTAGCTTTCTGTCTCCATTGGCTGCTAGCCAATGATTTTGTACCAGATAGACGGCTTCATCTAGGGATTTTTTTGTTCGAGATCTTCTTGGTCTTCGGCCTTCTACGTTTACTTCTACTACCAGTATCGTTCTTCTGGCTATGTGGTCGAGTTAATTTAGGTTTGCTCGATTTACATTTTTTAAAAGCCTGTCTTTTAGATCAAGCTCTTCCAGAATTGACAAATTAGTTCTGTGTTCTGTCCATTCTGTCCACAACACGAGTAGAATTCTTCTGTAGATCCACATTTCGAAAGCTTAGATTTTAAGATCTAAGTTTTCGAAAGGAAGATCCTACATTCTAAGTTCTTATATATCTTAACTCTATCAATTTTGTGTCCATGTTTTAGCAGTATATGTAACAATGGGAAAAATAAGGGCAATGACCAACCTGAGCTTAGTCTTCCTTGTTATTGTTCGATCTTTCAATATTTTAATTAATTTAACTTTTGCGATTCGATCCACTGTAGGTCTACGCTTGATTTCTCAGGAGCTATCACCTTTATTTGTATCAAAATTAAATTAAACAATTCAAAATATACAAATATTACATTCACTCTAAGAATGTACCGATAAGTTAACGTTGATGATTATTTTTTTCCCCAAAAGGATGACGTAAAGTGTATAGACAAACTATTAACATATGCCAAACATATATGGACAACAAGACTAAAACTAGGGCTTGTATACAAAAAACTTTAGCGGATGTCGGATAAAAAGCTCACACCTATTGATCGACAAGAAGCTATTTATATACAAACTAATAATAAGCTCTGGGGATTATGGATATCTAATATTATGAAAATACAAAGATTTCAGTCAAAAGTCCTAAGAACAGTGGCTAACGCTCCTTGTTACTTCTAGAATGATGCATAGACATCTGCAGATGCTAATCTCTGGAGAGTACAAAAAAATATTATCGATCTCTCTATAAGTACCTGTGCTATGCCTGTCTCTATTCAATGCTGCATTTTTTACTTTTTTTATGGAATTTAAAAACGTCAAGAAATATTCTAGTTATTAATTATTTTTAATAGTTTTCAAAACAATTCTATTTAGTTTTGCTTTAACTGAAATTCCGGTTGTTTTCAATGTTTTGTTATGAAGCTAACACAGAAAAATTGCTCGGTAGTATCTATATAGTGTTTATATATAAATATTGAAAGCTTTTCAAATGTGCACTGAAAAACGTATATTAAATTGCATATTTTTGATTTTAGGCACAACAGACTATTTAGATTCGAAGAGAGGGATAAAGAAGGGGTGGTAAAAGGTCACTATGGCTTTTACGACAAAGAGGGAAAGCTACAAGTAGTCCACTACGATGCCCACCCGCATACTGGATTTCACGTTGCAGAAAATTCATAAACAATGGGAAAAAGTAGTAAAATTTTGATCAGACTGAATTAAAAATTATTGATAGGTAATTTTTAATTGCAGAATGTTACTTATAGAATTTTTATTTTATAAAATGGAAGGTATTAAAAAGGTGAGGGCGAATAAATATACACTGTCGTGGAGTTTTTATTAAATAGATATTACCAATTATATATTCTTTATTTGTAAAATTGCTGACGTTTCTATTTAATCTCATGTCCAAGCTCTTGATTCTTATATCACTTTCACCATATCATAAGTCACCTCGATTTAATAACAATAACTATTGTCAAGTAACAGTACCACTACCTACTTATATAAAACAAAAAGAAACTTAACTTGAAAGTTTGAAAAGCAGATCCAGCCATTTTATTCGGGTTTTTTTGACCTGTCGTAACACTTAGTTGATCATAAAGTTTGTTCTCTTAAAAATTTGGTTTGGCTTCATCTTAAGTTTTTGATTTTTTTTTCCTTTCATTATTTTGTGACTAAATAAGCGTGAGTCAAGGCAAATTCTGAACAAAATTGTTGGCACAAAATACCAGAAATTTTTAACTCTTTCTAATTCATGTTGGCCTAAGATATGATGGCTTTATTCATGTTCAATAAAATGAAACAGTAGATATATAACACATTATTTTACCCTTTGGTCCGATGAACCTAAGCTGTTCATTTTATTCATGCTTAGAATCATCTATATGTTGAATTCATGTTTTATGTCTTCTTCACCTTTACTTAATATATGAATATCATTAGAAGGGACCAACAGCTGTGTTAAATTTAAGAGAGTGACATCTGGATTATCAGGGAATTTCCTAATGAAGCTTTTATTAATTATATTAAATACGGCGAATGAAATCATAAACAAAAACAACCCACCTTTAAAAAAAGAGAACCAAAGAACCTGAAAAAGAAATCATAATGGATCGTGAACAAATTGATAAAATATGAGAATTATATTACAAAAATTAATATATTAGGAAAAATATTAAACACTAGTAAAGGCAGCGAAGAATGATCAAATACACAGTACAATAAGAAAGCCAAAAGATCCAAAGAAACAAAAACAATGTAAGTTCCATACAAGACTATGCTAGTGACAATTGCCATCAGGGAAACGACAATCCAGATATTAACAAAGCCAAGAAATGTGCTAACAGAATATCTAAAGAACAATATTCAGAAGTATTTTTTAAGCATATTTTAATCCACCAAGGAGTCACAATAGGAAAACTAGAAAGAATAGAGTAGACGAAAAAATTATAAAGGAAAAACATAAGGCAATAGTAAAAATTTGTTGTAAATTAAGACTTAAAAAAAAAACGAAAAAAAAACACAAGGATAGCCTACTGAAATTTAAAAGGAAGATTATTAGAACAATACTGGACACAACCGTAACAAAAGAAGGAAAAGAAAAGACCGTATTCAGAGATTTTAAAAAGGATTAACAGTTGGACTTCACTATGACCTAGATGCAGAGAAAAATCTAGAAAAATATGGTTAAAACACAGCAAACTCTGAAGAACAAACTGAATTTTCTACCTCAAACATCATAAGATAAATTGTACAGTTTTGATAATAAAAATATTATTATATACCTATTAAGAGGTAAAGATGACTTTCCATGTACGTAAAGGTTTATATTTTGTGTGCTTTGGAGGTTCCATTCAGTGTTTTAATGTCTAAAAAAACTAATGTCTTTTCTCAAGGTCAGATCTAGATTCTTTGGCTGGATATCATTTATTTTTAATCTTTATTTTGCAGATGGTATTCTTCAGAGATTGTATAACAAAGTTGTAGTTGTTTTTGTATCGACATTTGTTACTTATTATCCACAAAGGTTTCTATGTAGTTCAAAGGTTGGTATATATGTAATGTACCACGATGTAGTACAAAATACCATACTGTACCACGATATTGACAAAACAAAATATACGTGTAAATTATTAATGAAATGATTCCAGACTCTACACTGAACAATTAGATATTATAATCCACGTGATACTAATGATATTATCCTGCCTTTTAAATCCCTGTGTATTCATATTCGCCTTTACTTTTAACAATAAATATTTTTCTACATACATGTGATATTTAAACTTTTATATGTATCTACTTTTTGTCATTCGCTGATATTTTCTCTCTAGCTCTTAAGATTTTTAGTAGTTTTAACGTTTTACTAATACGAGCCATGATTTTTTTATTACGTTTTGCACCAAGTAATGTAGCATTGCCTCGTTTTGTAATGCACACATTGTTTAGTCTATTATTATTATCTGTACCTTTACGCAATTTCTAGTTGTTAGCACAGCTTTATCTAACTTAATACATATTAGTACTTAAATCCTTAGAAATATATATGCTCTATTAAACAAAGGTGGATTTCTCGTCAATTTGACATGAGCATACACGTTAAGAATGTATTTTTTAATCATAGCTTTGTTGGCATATATAAACGTTGCATATTTATTATATTTTTACTTTTGTTTGTTTTCTCTTTAAATATAAATACTTAATTGGTAAAAAAATTAAGGCGGCGTGAATTGTATATGTATAAACAAATATGCCTCGTATGTATGACGCAACGCTGTTATTTATGTGGTTGACGAAAAATTTTCCATAAAATAGATGCCCTAAAGCAGAAACATTACAACACTTGTTAAAGAGTCATCTTTGACCAAGCAATAAAATGCTCAAATCAAACGATTTATTTATTCAATGTTATACATTGACTGTATTTAAATAGGCAGATGTGTTATACAAAATGCTGCATTCAAGATATTTTTGTTTATAACAATATTAAGTTGGCACAGACATTTTGATATTCAGTGTTTTGATATTCAAATCCAATTAAAAAATGACCTACAGAATATTTTTAATATTTGAAATATCATAAAATATTTGACGATCTAAAGGTATTATTATGTCAGAATATAGCATTTTGTACAATGAATACTATAATTATAAATTTATGTGATTTATTGTTATTCCGTTAACGTTAATATGTGTTTTAAGTATAAAAATATAAAAACAATGATACAATGTTGGTGTTTTATTTTTCGTAACCCAATTTGGCATGTTTTAAGTTGTGTTAGAAATTCTGCAAAGAGAAAGTTATAGGACTGGGACTAGACTTAACATTGAAATCACAATTCAGTTAAAGGCTGGAAAAACTGATCTCAGCCATTCAGATTTGGTACCATTATCACTAATGATGTCGTTCTTGTCCATTACCACCTTGGCTTGTCCCTAGCCAACCTCTTTATTTTTAGGTTATTATGTACCTGTTATCTACATAGACATATAATAAAAAATAGACTGACTGCTGCCATACAATCGCGTTCCCCCAGTGCGACAGAGAAAACTGGCGCAAAGCATTACCTGCATCTCTTTCTAATGTGTCAGGTTTATCGACCACGTGACCTAAATGACCAATGAAAAGGTCACGTGGTCTATAAACTCGGTAAATTAAAAAGATATGCAAGGACTGCATATCTTTGCCGGGTTGCAGGAATTGCATATTTCGGGTTCCGAAATGGAATGGGTACTCGAGAAGGACTATTTGCCATCAACATATTGATTCAGCGATGTCGGGATGTAAACGTTGATCTACACTTGTGCTTTGTTGACTACGAAAAAGCTTTCGATAAAGTAGTGTCATGAACAACTAATATCAATACTTATGAATAAGCGCATTGACAGTAAAATCATAAATATGGTGCAAACATTATATTGGAACCAAAGTGCCATACTTCAAATTGATGGGCAACGCTCACAAGAAATGAAGATCTGTAGAGGAGTTAGACAGAGATGTGTTTTATCGCCACTTTTGTTTAACTTATATTCTGAAGAAATTTTCCAAAACACGCTCAATAATATCAAAGCGGGAGTTACCGTTAACGGAAAATTAATTAACAACTTACGATATGCAGGCGACACTGTGATCACAGCAACGAGTATAGAAGATCTGCATCTTATCGAAAGCTTAAGTATGAATAGTACTGAGATGGGAATTACTATAAACGCTAAAAAACGAAGTACATGCTAATTACAAAAAGACCACAAAATATACATTACCTATTGACAAAAAATGGCAACGTGATAGAACAAGTAAAAAAATATCAGAAAAAAAAAATATTTTACTTGGGAACTTTGATCAATGAAACCAATGATCACACTGCAGAAATAAACAGGCGAATAGAGATTGCCAGATCAGCATTTATACGAATGAAGCCATTTCTAACGTGCAAAAATCTAAATTTGGAGATCAGACCACGTACCGTTCGCTGTTATATATTTTCGATACTATTATATGGACTTGGACATTAAAAAAATGCAATTTAAAAAGAATCGAGGCTTTCAAACTCTGGTTATACCGCAGAGTATTAAACATATCATGGACTGATAGAATTACAACTAAAGAAGGACTGGAGAGGATTGGTAAAGAAACAGAACTAATCACCACTATACAAACCAAAAAACTGGAATACCTAGCCCACGTGATGAGGGGACCAAAATATGAAATTTTGAGACTCATTATACAGGGAAAGATTAAAGGAAGATCTGTTGGCCGAAGACAGAACTCATGGTTAAAGAATCTACGTGATTGGTATAAATATAGATCGATTGATTTGTTTAGAGCAACAGATTCAAAAATAAAAATAGCTATTATGATTGCCAATCTCCGTAGTGAGACGGTACTCTAAGATTTCTTATTATACATTTCTTATGTGTATCTAAATTATATCACTTTCTGATGCCATTTAAACAGATTACACCAAGTATTATGTTAAAAATATTTACTTCAAGGATCATCAGATGACTTTCATTTACTACAGAAGTAATCCGTCAACTTTTTTAAGAAAAATAATAGCGGTTTTAACCATTTGTAAACAAATAGCCGCACTTGACAATCACCGCCAGAACGTATTCATCCTAGTTAATATTTTAGTGGAGCAAACATATGGTAAGTCCTTGAAGAAATATCTAGACTGAACGGAGTATGTTGTCCCTGCATTTTCCAACAATAAGACAGCGGCATGCGTTGACATTCTTATTCAACACTTCAGTAAGATATTTATCATTTAACTACTATGGTAAAAAAATCATTAAAAACATATTTTTAATACTATCGTTATAACTTTACCTGTAGTTGCCAGTGTTTAATAAAATCTGTTCTTTTTAGAACAAAATTAGTGTGTTATTTCAAAAATGTCCCGTAAGAATTTAAATAGTTGTTGTAAAGAGATGGTAATACTTTTGCAATAATTATGTGGCCTATTTGATTTAAAATGGAGTCAGGATTTTTTTATACTTTGACAACTATGGCAGCTTCGATCTCTGTCAATGATAATGACATGCAACGGCAAGTGTAGTAGCGTTGTAGGCAATGACGTATAATATATAGACTAAGCAGTCCCCTATTCTCGCTATATAATCGAGTGTCCGAAAGATCTCCGCTCAAGGTTGAAGGCATCGGTTGAAGGTAGGTTTACCAGAACAGCGGCGTGCTCATTTAAATGTTAATGACAATAATTATTTTTTTAATTAAAATTAAATATTTATGATTTCTTTTTGTTCCCGTCTATGAGAGAAATAATTATTTTGATAAAATAGTATGGCATTTTACTAAAATAGTAAGTAAATAACTCTCAACAATTTAAAATAAAATTTGCTTGTCACATGAAATATGTAAACACTCAAAATGGAGAAAATGTTTTCATACGTCTATGATGTTTTCAAACACAAGATCAACTTTGTGATGCTTCGTAAGAAATCATGAACTTCGTGCATCTTCGTATCAAAACAATAAACAATAACAAATGTATTCATGTTGTGGACACTTTTTAAAGCGTTCACCGGGAACCAAGCAAACCTCTCTCTCTTTCTGTGTTTAAAGCACTGTTCTTCGAATGTTCCTGTTACTTTTAGTTGTGGTATGAAATGTTTACAGTTACCTAAAATAAGGGGCTTATTATGTTTCCAGATTTTCTAATTTTGAGATTTTGAGTAATTCCCCGTCACAGTTTTAATTATTTGTGGTACTTTGTTAGTTAATACGCCTGCTATCCTAGAATTCTCGGATATACACGCCTCTACTTTCAAGATAAACGTACCAAGATGCTTAGTCGACTTATGCTAACCCAGATAATTTTGAAGTAAATAAATTAATTCTCACTTCTTTGTCCAGGTTTCCATAGCTATACAGTGTAATTCCTGGGTATTCCCAAAACTCCGGCTGCAACTCAGCAGTTTTGTTGGGTGGATCGAGTAGCTCAACAGAACTGTTGCCGGTCCCAAGCACAGATAAAGAAGGAGGGGGTCTACAGACAGGTTAGCACCCAACTGATAGACTGCAAAACCATATAGCTCATAGAAATAGGATTATGGCTCGGAACCAGAAAAATATAATGAAACTAGAAAAAACAATTTATCGAAAACGGTTTTATATTTCAATATGTTTTTACATAACCTACATATGTAAATAAATAGAACTCTACACCGATCTCTTCATTTATTCAATTTTCCATTGTGTCACCAGCACAACTAACAATAAAGTCTTCGTAGGTCCATTTTGGAAATATTCTTTTATATAGATTCAGTAAGACGGTATCTTGAGAATTCAGATGGCCATCAAACACGCATTTCATGTGACCGTGTGTACCTAAAGAAAGAAATTATACTGAATAAGATAAATACTAGTAGAATTTTTACATTTAAGTTAGATTAGATTAGAAAATACTTACCTAAAGGTTCTTTAATATGTCCACTTCTTCCCATTTTCGTTCTTAGTTTAATGGGTTTGAAATAGACGATATCTTCTCTATTAAAGAACATGAACCGAATAACAGCAGATTTCTTGTGAATTTTAAATGGATAACCTAAAACAAAAATAAAATTTACATTGAAACGAGAAAGACATTTTTGTTTTTAAAGTTTTGAAAACTTTTCTAACAAGATTTTGGAACGTTTGATTTATTTATCATAGAAAAAAGCTTTCTTTTCGCAAGATTCGCACGATAAGGTATAAAGGCACAAAAAAGCTTTCTTCAGTGCCATGGACATTTATACGTCCATGTTCAGTGCAAATTTATATAGGTGTTTTTAATACGTTTAATTGAAAACTACAAAAAAAAAGGTCCACGAATATTTCTTGGGAGAAATCAACTTCCTGATGAGTTAAGAGACTTGATATTTTGGCAGGGAATCCTTGACTTTGTCAAGAGTTAAAAACTATGGATAAAAATATAAAAACATGAATACTAACGAACATTTAAAATAAAATATTTTGTGTCACCGAATATGCAACTAAATGCATGAAGCAAAAATTCAGCAAAACACTAAGCTACTTACAAAAAACAGAAAGTCGCCAATTCCAAATGAAATAACCAATAATCTGCTAAAATATAGAGGCATTGACAAAGAAAATCACAAAATTATTGTAAAATATCCTTAAAAGCAATAAACTCTAAAGTAACTCTCGTCAAAGAGACAGGTAAGCATATCAAACACATCTGGAGTAATTTTTAGGTAGGATTAAAGAAACAATAGGGCATATGCTGGACCCCAAGATAGATGTCAAACATTTTTAAGATGTCATGTTTGTGATCGAAGACAATTGGTCGGAGTAGCGAAGAATTTCAACAGAAAAGTGCCAAGGTGGAATTACAACCTTGCAAATCAAAGGACAGAAGTAGAATTCTCCAAAAGATCAGAAGAGTGGGGCGAGTATCGCGAAGCTCTGACTAAATATAATACGGAACTGAAAAGGACAAAAGGAATATGGTCTAGAAGACATTACGAGAAGATAAAACAGACCACAGTAATGTCAATACTTCGTCAAGTTCCCCGAAGGACCCTCAAATAATAAATATACCACCAGAAAAATGGCAGTCACTGGACCGGAGCAACCATAAGTGACGGTTCTAGGTAAAATTGGTGTGAGGTAAAAGAAGGAGAAATCAGCACCGTTACTCCCTGCTGTAGTCTATATTGCAAGGTAAAGTCAAAGGTAAGCGAGGACCCGGTAGAAGGAGAATATCATGGCTGCGGATTTTGAGAACATGGTTTCAGAAAACCTCAATGGAGCTGTTTCGAGCCGCAGCGAGCAAGGTTATGATTGCCAATATGATTTCCAACATCCGAAACGGATAGGAACCAGAAGAAGAAGAAAAGAATGATGTATACTGTCTGCACAATTATTTAATATATATGGGGAGCATATTATAAGAAAAGCGCTTGACGGATGGAAAAAACGCATCTCAATAAATGGCCGAAAAATAAACAACTTACGTTTTGCAGACGACACAATACTTCTTGCAAATAGTCAAGAAGAGTTAATTGATCTCATATGACTGGTTGAAAACGAAAGTCAATTATTTGGTCTGCAGTTAAACATGTCAAAGACAAAGATCATGATAGCGGATATACTACATAACAATCATCCACACATAACCACGACGCAAAATATGGTAGTACTTTCAAATTTCACGAACCCTAAAATGAGGTTGATCAACTACTTAATATTCCCAATATTGACATATGAATGTGAATCTTGAACCCTACGACAAGCGGAAAGAAGAAAGATAGATGCCACTGAAATGTTGTGTTGGAGAAGAATGTTCTACGAATTCCGTGGACAGATCACAGGACAAATATTTCAATTTTAAATGAGCTAAAAGTCACCAAATGGCTATACAGTAAAGTCCATCTCCAACAATTAAAATATTTTGGACATGTTACGAGCGAAGACACACAAAACATGGAAATTTCATCGACCGAAGATCACGAGAAAGATCCCAACAAGATGGATCGGCCAAATTACCCGAATATGTAAAAAACCTATGCATGAGTTATCTTTGGAGACGGACAATACACGTCATCACGATGACCACTACACTAAATCCGGGGGGTCAGGGTGAAGAGAGAAAAGAAGTGATAGATCATAACCAAATCAAATGGGCAATAAACTCATTTGAGCCATATAAATCATCGGATACGAACGGGATTGATATACTACTTTTACAGAAGGGAAATGATCTGTACAAAAAGTTATGTATGTTACTACACGGAGACTCGAAAGAATAGATCTTTGCTCCCCGCGTTGCAAAAGAACCAAACAATCCTGAAAACAATCGTTCTTTTTATGAATGAATCCAAATGCATTTAATCCAAATTATCTAAAATATTATATAAGACTTTTTTGTTTCAGCTGTCTTTGATAATAAAAAATATTTAAGATCCGAAGTTGACCATAAAAGACTTCTTGAATGTAATTCATTCATGTCATTCATATATCTGGAAAATATGGATATACATGTTTCAGATTCTGAAAACTCTGATGAAGTCTTTGATCTAAATTAAGAATTGTATCAGCCTCAGCAATCAGATTTGGCTCAATATACAGATGATGAACAAGACACAGAAATACCACAAGAAGATGAATTAGATAACGAGCCACTCAACGAACGAAAAGAAAAGGCTTGAGAAACGAAATAAATGGAACAACATGGGATTTTTTTGTCCTTCAGCATGTAGACTTTACTGGAATTGTCGATACAGTCCACGAGAGGCAAAATTGGAAAGTTGAAAACTACGTCGATATATATTTTGATGATTCAGATTTCGAGAATATTTGTAATTATACAAATATTAAATTTTTGCAAGAAAAAGGAAAACCTTTGAACGTTACTCTGACGTGAAAAATTTATCTATTTTAATATCCTGTCTAAAGTATCCAAAAATTAGAATGTTTTGGACTAAGACAACAAAGTTAACAGTATTGTACAAGCCAAGACACGTGATAAATATTTTCAAATCAGAAGCAATTTAAAAGTAGTTTGACGCTGATGTGCCTCAAGATCAAAGAAACGCTGACCAATTATTTAAGATCAGGCCTTTAGTTGAAAAAATACGAAGAGGTTGCTTGACACTTCCAAGATACAGTGAGGTTGCTGTGGACGAACAAATGATACCTTTTACGGGCGTGTGTAACATGAAACAATTTGTTAAAGGTAAACCTAATCCAGAGGGATTAAAAAATTTTGACTGCGCCACTTCAAAAGGATTAATATTAGACTTTACAATATATAATACATTTCTGCATAATAATGATGAGGTTAAGAAGTTAGCTGTTGGTCTATCCGCAGCTATTAAGTTATCTACAACATTATTAGAAGAAACACATGTATTCATTGATAGATATTTCACCACCTTATCTTTACTTGAGTACATGATAAAAAACAAACATATTCTTTAGCTGGCAAAATAATGAGATCCAGAATACCCAAAGCAGTTCATGTAACATCGGATAATGTGGTGAGTCGATTAGGTCGTGGTTCTTGTGAGTAAGATGTAAGATCGGATGGAAAAACTAACATAGTCCAATGGTATGATATGAAATCGGATATGCTAGCGTCATCTGCGTTGCAACTAGAACCTTCAGATGAATGTAAGCGATGGTCAAAAAGAAACTCCCTATATGTTGAGGTATCTAGACTAAACATTGTTAAAAATGTCAACGAATCCATGAGGAAATAGATTTACTTGACAGAATGGTCAGTTATTATAGAATGGGAGCTAGAAGTAAGAAATGGACAGTCAAAACCATTTTTCACTTATCTAACCTTGCGACTGCCAATTCTTGGATTCTATAGAGAGATAACCATAAGCAACTTGGTGATGCTAATAAAACAGTTATGAAGTTCCTGGAGTTTAAAATAGCTGTTTCTGAGTTGGCCCTTAAAGAAAATATTTCTGATAATTTTGATTTTGGGAACATTTCAACACTGGTAACTAAAAAGAGTTACAAACCTAGAAGATCACTTCAAACATCTAGGAGATAGATACAACACATTGTTTGTGAAAGATTGCATATAAAGGATGCAATGGCATCCGAGTTAAAAAATTATATTAGATATGATTCCAGGTTATAAGGGTAAAACATGTTTATTGTGAATCATGTTACATATTTTTATGTTTAACGGGAAATAGCAATTGCTTTAAACAATTTCATTTAAAATAATTTTGTATTGATGCGATCCTGATGTCCTTTTGAATGGACCTGTAAATTTAGAATAATTTACATGTGTTTTTATACTAAAAATCACACGAATACTATTATTTAATAAAAAAAAACAAAAAAGATCGGGTCAGGTCTCAGGAGGATATGGAGAATAAATTCAAGTTCGAGTTATATTAATATTATCAACTCGCTATAGCAAATTATGTAAAAGATTGCGTTACGTAGGTTACCTTATACGAATGGATAATAACAGAACACCTAATAGAACGCTGAGGAGAATTATGGTGGGGCGATAGCTAGTTGGAAGACCAAGGAAGAAGTGGATAGACGAAGTGAGAACCAATGCTAAAGAGATATTGAGGGTAGGTAACTGGAAAAGAGCAGACGATGAAAGGGAGTCATTGTAAAACTGTATCGAGTAATATTTTAATAATTAAAGTACATCGACCTGTTAATAAATTGTCGAATAATATATTTTCCAATTGAAATTCCTAAGTGTTGCAATTACGGCCTAGATTAAATTGTATTGTAAGCTCACAGTTCAAAGATTGTTAGTATGATAGAAATAATAACCTCTGTGCTGAGGTATACATTATTTGTGAGATTATAAATTGGGGATTTGAGCTCATGTGAGGGCAGTTTATTATAAGTAGTTACCTAACCAACATCATATAGTGTAATTAGTAGTAGCTGTCAATAAAACCAATATTTTTTCTCTAAAACTTCAACATTTTATTGTATTTATCATTGTCGATCGAGAAGAAGCGGACAAAAGGGCATTATAACACGATCGATCCGTATAACTACATTCGAATCTGTCCAAAGAGAGAGGCAAACAATTTAAAGATTCCCATTGCCTGTTAAAATTCCTATATGATACGCTCTACTTATATTATACACTTTCGAAATGTGTGATATATCATTTAAAATATTCATTGCAATTTTTTTAATATTACCTGACAACACTATCCGTTTCACGACCATTCTGTCTGGATTGCAGGAAAGTAAACTACCGGAAGCCACAAGAACCAGTCTATTATTTACTTCTTTATAACATAAAACAGGCGCAGGAGGGAACTGAATGGGTGCGTAGAACGTCGCTACTGCCGTCGAATCAGGTTGGAAGTATCTTTCAAACTAAAAATAGAAATATTAAATTTTTACACTGATTTTCACGTTACTGTACAGTAAGTTCCTAACTCGCTGTAATCACTGTCAGATTGGTTTATTTATTTGTACATGTAACGAGAAGTTACATGTTCAAATGTTACATGTACATTGAACAAAGTAAGCAAAAGTTTTTGGCAACGGTAAACCACATTCCGAATGATTTTTCGCTGATATGTAACTCAATATTAAATATTCATCCATTTCTTTATATCTAAGACATAGGAATAGTCAAAGTAGTGAAGAGAAAATGTGGAAAGTTCACCAAAGAAGACCAAGACTAGGCAATCGACAGAAAAGACGATGGCTTATGCTTTTTTAAATGCGAACAGTATTATTAACAATAATTATTTGTATAGTAGTAACAACTGGCGTCTAGTAAGAACTTCTCTTTGAGGAAAATGCATCCTGTCTTGTCTCGCAGAAGATTATCTTCTATCAGTACGACACCCTCATCCCAAAAGATGGTTTTGCGCAGGTATAATTACATCAATTGGGACATGAATTTATCAAGCACACATAGATTTGACAGATTTAGTACCGTGTGACTATTTTTCTTTTCCTAAACTTAAAATGGATCTAAGGATACCATTTACAATAAACAATGAAGTCAAAGTCGAAATCTAACATGATTTTGAGAAGCTCGAACCTTTATTAGTTTTCGGAAAGATTGAAAGAGTAAAGAAAAACATCTTAGTAAATGTATTGAGAATAAACCAGAATATGTCTAAATGAGAAAAATGAGAAAACAACGAGTTTAGGCTTTCGCACTCGATGTTTTAATTCACAAGTGATTAAGTGAGAACTATGGCTACCTCCTACAGCCAAGGTAACGTCTATATCCGCTCCCGCATCGCCTTTAATAGTTCCTGTAACAGTTACAGACGAAACGTGAAGAACAAAATTACAGTACTGTGCGAATTAATGGAATTATAGCCTGTGTTAATAAAGCTGTTTATTTAGAAAAAGATTATATTTTGCCACAACTATAAAGGTAAACATATCTTTTAGTACGAAATATGTCCCTCTTTGGCTGCAATTACTGCTTTTACCCGTTTTGGCATAGATTCGACGAACTTCTGACAGTTCTCGATACCAAACCTGAATGACCGCTTCTATCATTTTTATTTTTGCAATACAGTCGATTTTGCACAGTCTACCTTTGCAAATGGATAAATTTTCAATGCGGTTGTGGTCTGGCGAATTACCAGGCCAATCTAAAACATTAATCTTCTTATTTTTGAAAAATCCATCTGTTGCTTTGACTTGTAACAGGGAGCAGAGTTCTATTAAATAATCGCTCCTTCTTGTGGCTGACATTTTTGGAGTTCTGTGTCCAAATGCTGTTCCAACATGAATTTGAATTTTTGGCTGTTCGATTGGTACTAAAGATCCAACCCCCATGTATGAAAAACATCCCCAAAACATTATTTTGACTGGATATTTTACGGTTCAACCCCCATGTATAAAAAACATCCCCAAAACATTATTTTGACTGGATATTTTACGGTTTGATCAATGAAATGGTGTAAAGTTTTCATTATTAGACTTCTTGACGAATTTTGACCGCTATATCTAAACTATAAAGTGAGTTTCATATGTAAAAAGGACTTTTCTCCAGTCGTCTACAGTCCAATTAGAGTATTTTTGGCCCATAATAGCTTTTGTTTCTTCATTCGTTCAGTTAGAAACTGTTTTTTCTGTGAACGCATTGTCCTTCTACCATCACCATCTTTGGCTCGACAATCCTCTGTGAATCTTTGCCTGCTCTAAGATTCGTCGCCATTCTGTTCGGTTTCTGGCAACATGTTACCATCTTCTGATTTTTAATTTCCGTAAGTCGGTTTCAACTCCACCTAACCACCTAATTGTGGCTGTGGCTGTGTAAAACCCGCTGTGTTTTAATGAACGTTATGACATCTGCCTCATCAAAGAGCTGATACAATTCAAAATTATATCTTCTGCGCCACTGCCCTTGGTCGTTTATAGCTCCAAATATTTTGCGGAGTATTTTACGCTCAAATATTCCCAAAAGTCTTTCATCTTTCTGCGTTAGAGTCCATGTTTCTGCTCCATATGTGAAGATCGGCCTCAGCAATGTTTTGTATATAATAATTTTAGTTCTTCTTTGAATGTTTCTTGAGTGGAAATGCTTTTGGAGTCCATAGTATGCCCTATTTGTAAGATGTATTCGTCTTTTGATTTCTTCACTTGTTTTATTGGTAGCAGTCAATAGCGAGCCAAGGTATGTGAAGTTGTCAACACGTCCACAGGTATGACTTCCAAAGACTGTTTCTCGTTCCTCATTTGCTATCGGATCCTTTTTAACCAACATGTACTTGGTTTTGTCTTCATTGATGACTAGACCACCCTGTTTCGCCGCTGTTTCCAATTCTAGGAGATATTGCTCAACATCTCGCTTGCTACGCCCTATTATGTCAATGTCATCAGCATATGCTAAGACTTGTATCAATCTTGTCCTTCTACCATTCCCCCAAAAGTCTTTTCCAAACAACTGAGTCATGAATTACTACACCTCATACTGCTAGATATTGGTGGAGCTCTTGGCTTGTTTTTCTTGGGTCCAATTTGCTCTTTTGAAGTAAAAACCTTTCATCTGCTGGTGTTGTTTTTCTCTTTCTTCCACATTTTCCTAACCTTTTCACATCCATTGATACCGTTTGTCGTTTACGCTTCAAAATCTTGCTTACTACTCCCTGACTCACTCCACGCATTCTTGAGATTTCTCTTTCTGACACAGAAGTGTGTTCGCTTAACGTGATAATCTTTTCACGCTTCCTAGGCGTAATATCCATGATGGAATTAAACTCACTGATTACCGAAACAACACAAAATAGTACAAAACAACACAAAATGTCCTAAAACACCCTCAAATAAAAGGCAGAGAAAAGTAAGGTTATGTTTTTAATGATTGGTCAGTTGTAAATGTGTGGACAGTGTTGCCAACTATGAATATTGCAAAATGTCAGAATTATTCCATTAAATCACACAATACTGTACTATTTACTTAAATATAAATATGAAAACAGCAGAGAAGGAGAAAGAACGGAAAACAGATTAAATAGGCCACCAAAGAGTAAGTATATATGGAGAATGATAGAAGTGAATTGGAATAAAATATATTAGAAGAAATAAAACCAAAGGTTCCGAAAATCTCATCAGAAAAATCACAACATAAATAAATCAAAAGGAAACCTTATTAAAACAAAAATAATTCCCTAAGTACATTGAACCTCATAAAAAAATCGAATTCTAAGTGAGAGAAATTAAATAACAGGAACAGCAATATTTTTAAACAAAATCCCAGTTCTTTTATTAAAACGGGAATCATAATATTTTTAAAACTACATATACTGAAAAGAGAGTAATATTGGCTTAATTGTCAAGTGGCCATTATGCAGTTTTGATGCACCTTCTTAAGTTTTTGTTTTACTTTATAATCCATCAACAAATATCAACAGACTAAATTAAATTTAAAGTGAATAATTCTAACATACCTTATGTTTTTGGCCGTTGGTGTGACTGCTAAAAATCGGATTGACAACAAATCTTCTATATCCGACCTGGAACACCAACCTTTCTTTCGATTTGATCGGCAAAATGTAGTTTTGGGTTCTTCTTAGCACAACATTGAGCACTGACATCTTATGCTCGTGGGGAAACATACCTATCACAGTCACTGGTGCGTTAGTTTTTTGGAAAGTCTCCCAAAGAAGCTGCGAAACTGCCTTCACGTGAACGGTAATGTACCAACCGGGCTAAAAAGTAAAAATAATCTGATTTAAATCACCTTAGCAATCATTCTTGACTCTTTGAATTCGTTAAACCAAATCCATCGAAAAGGGTCTAAAAACACTGTAAAACTGATGCTACTCTGTATATCATAATTTGTTTGAGAAAAAAGGCATAAATCATATATACCAAAAATTAAAGGGATTCGGTGTTTCTACTTTCTTGAGCGAAGATGTAGGTGTTTGTCCTTACACCTTTGTCCTGATGGCTTTGTTTCGCGCACCAGTAATAGGTCGCTGGTTTTTTCCCTTGGGGAACAAGGTTTTTCCTTAGGGAAATAGGTTCACTTTATATATATATTTCTTTGAAGGACCACCCAGAAAACTGGGAAAAATGAAGATTCGAAAGGAACGTTTGAACAAATATATTTAAACAAATACAATGTATTTTAAACGCCGCTAACTTGCATATGATACACACTTGTCGGTGATACAATATTGACACGAACTATATTGACTGGTTTAAAACACTAATATGCCGCTGGGGCGAGTAGAGCCTGACGCTCCTTCAGTGCTGGAATTTGAACTGATACTGAATTTATGGACTTGAACTGCGAACTCTCCACTCTCTTCCCTCAATCACAAACATTCCAAAATCTCCCCCTGACCCCTCGACGTATTAAAAGATATGTTTATTTTTCAAATACCTTTAACTTTCAAATCATTGATAAACTACCTGATAAGGGTATTTGTCTCTACTTGCGGAACTTTGGAATGCGTCAGAGGGTAATTTGGAAAATACTAATCCTTTCATTGTCATAATTCTATGAAGGTTTTAGAAACTTGAGTAGAAAGTTATTTAAATGCAAGATAACGGCGCTTTACAGATTATTAATTATTACAAAGAAATTTTATATATCTAAACTAATATACAGTATGATACAAAAATAAACTAAATAATATGATACAAAACTAGACTAAAAATATTAAGTATTGTTGTTACGCAACATAGTTCCCCCGTTGATGTGACCTACATCTAAATAAGTATGGGGTAAAGGACATACTTTAACAACAGATCTTATAAATGTTCCGTCTTTAGTTCTTAGTTTTACAGTTCTAACCCTGCCGTCTTTACCTGGCAGTGTTTCGATTACTCTTGCCAGTGACCATTTTAGAGGAGGAGCGTTATCATCGATTAGGAGTACAAGATCATCGACTTTAATGTTTTCTTGGGGCAGAAACCATTTGGGCTTATTTTGGAGGCGATTTAAATAATCCCTAGACCAACATTTCCAGAAATGCTGCTGAATTTTGCTGCATTTCTGCCACAGTGATAAACTATTTTCGGATTTTGTCGAGATATCTTTTTTTGGATAGGAAGTCATGCTGCTTCCAATGAGAAAATGAGCGGGGGTTAGAAAAGAAAAATCATTTGGACTGTCTGACAATGGACAGAGGGGTCGTGAATTTAAAACAGCTTCTATTTGAGCCAAAATAGTGGTTAATTCCTCAAATCTAAAAATATTATTGCCCATCATCCTTACTAAATGATACTTGCAGCTTTTTATAGCTGCTTTCCAAATTCCACCCTGATGTGGAGATCGAGGTGCAATGAATTTCCATTCAATTAATGTTGAGGCTGCGAATTCTTTTATGGTAGGTAGAACATCCGTTCCCATAAAAAAGTCATAAAGCTCTTTTAACTGATTACGAGCTCCAAGAAAGTTGGACGCATTGTCCGAATAGATGGTTTTAGGAATACCTCTGCGTGAAATGAATCTTTTTAACGTTAGTAGGAATGCTTCGGTGCTAAGACTGGACACTAGCTCTATATGGACTGCCTTAGTGACGAGGCATACGAATACTGCTATATAAGCCTTACAAATGGGAGCACGTCGCAGTTTTGAAGATTTTATTTGAAATGGGCCCCCGTAGTCGATGCCGACATTTGTGAATGGTCGAGAGACCTGAAACCGTTCTTTGGGTAGATCGGCCATTATTTGATGAGCTGGTCTTGCGTTAAATCTGTAACAGTTCTTACATTTGTAGATGATCCTCTTGATTTCTCTTAGTCCATCAAGAGGCCAATAAGTGAGTCTAATATTTGACAATGTATTTTGAGGGCCTGTGTGCAATAGGCGAATGTGTTCTCTTTCAAGTAACGATCTAACTACCTGGCATTTTGTAGGAAGAAGAAGTGGAAATTTTTGATTATACGAAACATTTGCGTTGCGGAGTCGTCCACCAACTCTTATTAAATCAGATGCGTCTATAAATGGATTTAATTTTAAGATAACCTTATTTATTAGACCAAAAGGATCAAAAATAGAAGAGATAATTGATAGAACTTCTTCTTTTGTGTATATTGATTCACTAGAAATGTCAGGATGAGAGATAGAGAACATGTTAGAGTGAGAATTCCAACATATTCCAAGAACTTTATTTGAAGAATTATAGAGTTTTATTACATAATTAAATTTTTGAGATTCAGAGGTAGTAGAGTCGAGAAACTCAGAAGAATTAGAACTACATTTATGTAGTGCTATTCCAGCGGAATTTAGACTCATAAAAAGTTGCTTATAAGTCTTGTACAAGGTATAACCTAAAGAGACATATTTGTAGAGTCTAAAGCGAATTAAAATTTCGAACAAATCAGGTTGTACAGTATAACCTTTGAGCGTAATGTCGTTGAGAGACACATTTGAGATTGATATCATTGATCCATTAAATGCAACCCTGAGTCGAGTAGTCAAGCTATCATGCTTGAAATCACAATGATGTGGGAGAAAAAACTTATGTTCGGACGATTCATTAATCTTAGTAAGAGAAACGTGTTTACAATGCTCTAAAGAAACATATTCCGATATGAATTCTTTGTGCAGATTCAGTAATTCGTCTGATTTGTTAAGCCTTTTTTCAAGATTGAAAAAACGTCTTTTAGCGAAATGAAATGATTCACCTAATTTCTGATATTCATTAGGAGTCTTCAGAGGTAGGTCTACTTGAAATCTGCCACTAGGAAGAATTGTTAGCGAAGATTTGAATATGTCCTCAGCTTGCTGTTCTGAGGGAGTTAATGTTTTTTCATAAATAGAAGTGAGTGGTTTAGTCTGTTCTATTTCAGAAAATTTCTTTAAAGGAGAATCAAGATCAGCAGTTTGTACGTGTAACGAAATATTTGAATAATGTGAGTGAGCATTGTTCTTTGAAGGAGTCGCGTTTGATCCTAACATTGTATAACGAGAGTATGGGATATTTCCACCTACAATATAACCCAAATGAGTGTTTTGAAGAATAGGAAGGTTGGGGCCTAATTTTATTAAGCCGTAAGTAACTAGGTCAAAATAAATATCAGCTCCTAAAAGCATGTCTACGTCCGACGGGGTACAGAAATGTGGGTCTGCAAGTTTTATATTTTTTGGTATTTTTAATAAATTTAAATCCAGCGCGACTTGTGGATGCTGGCACGTAATGCTTTCGAGGACAGCACAGGACAGATTAAAGTTTTTACCAGGATATGTGTTTGAATAGATTTTAAGGTCTACCATCTTGTTTGAAACAGAAGAAGTTTGAGCTATACCTGATATTTGAAGATTTCTGGTATAGGGTGAATAACAAATTCTTTTGGCTAACCTGTCTGTTATGAACGAAACTTGGCTACCGGAGTCTGTTAAACAACGAACAGAGATGGGATTGTTTTCAACATCGTAAACAGTTACCAAAGCAGTTGCGAGTAAAATTTGCAGATTGTTCGAATATACAGAGTGGGACGAAATATTGCTCGGCCCTGGAAGATTTTGCGTATCTGGTAAACCTTGCGGAATTGCATTTGGAACAGAGTTGTTCTGCGAATTTGCATGAATATTCTCCGAAGTGAATTGAGACGAATGCTGATTTGGACGTTGATGACGTGAATTCCGAACAAATTGATTTTGGGCGGATTGACTTTCAGAATTCGATCTATACGAACTTTGCCGTGAAATATTTTCCGACGGGTGGGGAATGTGAAGCAAAGAGTGATGTCTTTTATTGCAGGTTTTGCAATTCGAAGATGAGGAACAAGAATTAGACATATGACCACTAGCAAGGCAATTGAGACAAAAACCTTTGTTTTTTACTTTTTGCATACGCTCTTAAGCGGACAAATTTAAAAATTGTTGGCAAGAGTAAACTTTATGTGAGTTAGAATTGCATACGAAACATTTAAAAGATGTATCTCTATTATTTATAGAAATATGAAGAGACGGTTTTGATTTATAAACTGTTTTCTCTTCAAAGATCAAATTTTCCAATATTTTACATTTCTTTTCAATAAAATTCAAAAACTCATCTATTGTAGGAAGTTCGTTGAAATCTCTTTCGGATTCAAAGGATCGTTTCATATTAAAATCTAATTTTTGTGTGAATATATGAATTAAAATTAAATCTGCAAGATTGTCGGAGATATTTAAATTATTTAGCGCACTTAAATTCTTTTTTATGTGAGTTAAGAATTCTCGCAAGTTTTGAGCAGTATTTTTTGTTAATGAAGGAACGTTCAAAAGTTGTTTTAAATAAGTGTTAATTATTAAACATTTGTTTTCAAATCTATTCTTAAGTGTATCGAGCGCAACGGAAAAATTTGAGCCTACAACTTCCAAATTTTCAATTAGTTGTAGAGGTTCGTTCTTGAGAATTGATTTTAAATAAATTAGTTTTTCAATATCTGAAAGATTTAAATCATCAACGATAAGTTTGTTAAACATCTCGATAAAACTAGGCCAATTTGCTATATTTCCATCGAAATGTGGAATTTTTATTTCCGGTAGGCGGATATGATGGTTATTTGAATGATTTTGTTGAGCTGAGGTGCTCACAACAGAATTTACTGAAATTGTATCAATTTTATTCTTTAGAGCTGATTCTAAGGTTAAAAATCTGTCTTCTACGTCTGCCATGTCAACAGAAAATTCATCATCTATTATCTCTAATTCATTTTGAACCTCGAGATATTTGTCAAAAACTTTTGATAAATAGTCTTTTCTAGAAATTAGTTCATTTTTTGAAATATTAATTTTTTCATTTTCTTTAAGCCAATTCTCCAATCTAGTTATCGAAGCTTTACTACGACCTCTTGCTTTAACAAGGTCATCTTTTACTTTAACAATATCATCAACCGTTTTATTCATGATTAGCTAATTGAATTAGATAAATATTTAATGAGCGAGAAATATGTGAAAGAATTTGATCTTTAAATTGAAAAACAGAAGAATAATAATAAACACAGAGAGATAGCGAAAATATGAGAATTTACACTAAAAATCGAAAATATAAGTAAAAAGATATATGTATATCTTTATATATTACTTGGAATATAAGTAAAAAGATCTAATAATTATAAAAAGAATAGCGAAATAACGAAAATGTTCAATAAATGTTCAAAAAGAGTTTATACGAGTAGTATGCACTTCACAAATGTTACTAAAATTAAAAAACTTACAGTTTGTTGAGTCTGATGCTAGGCGTTAAATCAGCTACCAGGATGAAGTAGTCTGGAGGCGTCCTACTGGAAGACCCTGAAGATGCTGCGTTGATGTCTAACTTGAAGGTGAGACGTGCGAAGATCTCTGATTCGAAGTTGAAATGTAAAGAAATCCGGCTCGAAGGACCATTAGCGAAGATGTAGGTGTTTGTCCTTACACCTTTGTCCTGATGGCTTTGTTTCGCGCACCAGTAATAGGTCGCTGGTTTTTTCCCTTGGGGAACAAGGTTTTTCCTTAGGGAAATAGGTTCACTTTATATATATATTTCTTTGAAGGACCACCCAGAAAACTGGGAAAAATGAAGATTCGAAAGGAACGTTTGAACAAATATATTTAAACAAATACAATGTATTTTAAACGCCGCTAACTTGCATATGATACACACTTGTCGGTGATACAATATTGACACGAACTATATTGACTGGTTTAAAACACTAATATGCCGCTGGGGCGAGTAGAGCCTGACGCTCCTTCAGTGCTGGAATTTGAACTGATACTGAATTTATGGACTTGAACTGCGAACTCTCCACTCTCTTCCCTCAATCACAAACATTCCAAAATCTCCCCCCTGACCCCTCGACGTATTAAAAGATATGTTTATTTTTCAAATACCTTTAACTTTCAAATCATTGATAAACTACCTGATAAGGGTATTTGTCTCTACTTGCGGAACTTTGGAATGCGTCAGAGGGTAATTTGGAAAATACTAATCCTTTCATTGTCATAATTCTATGAAGGTTTTAGAAACTTGAGTAGAAAGTTATTTAAATGCAAGATAACGGCGCTTTACAGATTATTAATTATTACAAAGAAATTTTATATATCTAAACTAATATACAGTATGATACAAAAATAAACTAAATAATATGATACAAAACTAGACTAAAAATATTAAGTATTGTTGTTACGCAACATTTCTTTCATAGGTTTTCATTTTAATTTAATGCTCAATAAGTATTGATCGCTTTGTACTGTCAGAGGTCTTCTTCAGAAAAATATAGAGTCATTTTATATCCCGTATGTTCCTTTATTGACCCATCGGTAACACAGATATAATGAAGATACTTAACGAAGATGCGATGTAGTGTCCTTTTGGCAATAGTTAGGTTCGTTTTTCCTACTTGGTACTATCCTCCATCTTCCCAGAAGTCATTTGGGCGTTACATGCTTAAAGCCCATTTGGTTATCCACCCTCTAATAACCAACCCTCCATTATCTACTTCTTGAGCTACCCTCTTTCCAATAACCTCTCATAGAATTACATGGGATTCTCATGGGGATTTAAATGGGAAAGTGACTTGTTTTGCACCAGTTCGACATAGCCCTTTTAGTACCTTACTAGAAAATAAGCTCAGTTACTAAGAGTCCAAGAAAAAATATTTCCCTAGAACTTCCGACAAAATAGATAATTTAGCAACAACTGGCAACACATGTATTAGAGTGAGAGAGAAAATAATTTTTTCTCTAGATTTTGGGGACTGCCTAGGTCCAAAATACTGTTACACTAGCAGTCCGTTCAACGGTGGACCAAAGAATTCGATGGTTGACGAAGTCCTTAGTAAACAACCCTGACGTCTACCTGTTACATCGAGAACATACGAGTAAAACACGTCCGCCTGAAAGAAGTTCCAGAAGGATTGAAAATATATAAAAACAGTTAGATTAAAATCGTAGAGTAAGTATGATAATAAACTGGTAGTGTTAAGTCAGAAATATAAATTGAAATATAAATTAATTGTTGTAGTGTAAATAAATTAAAATATTACTGTAAATAATTAAATTTACACTAATTACAAATTAACTAATTAATTTAGTACTTACCAAAGCGCCATCTTTGTCGTCTTGTTCACTTAGAACTCTCTTTTTGGTCCTGTCAAAGTTTTGGAACTGAAATATTCTTGCATAGTCACTTGGAAGATTTTCTTTAGGATCCCAAGGTGATGTCCTGAAAAAACAAAGGTCAGTCATATATGACAAAACTAACAATGTAGGTACTTTATTCTAAAGGTAAAATATCATTTAAAAAGAATTTACTAACAATAATAAATAACAAATAACAGTAAAATTTACTAACATACCTGAAACTCTCTAGTCCTCTATATTTCTGGAACCTCTCTCTAGCAGGCACTTCAAAAGGTGTATCGATTTCATCCGGAAACTCCCTGTCACTCTTAGCCGCCTTAAGTTTGTCCAACTCCTGCTTTTCAGCATATAAGTCCATTTCTTTGTCATATCTTTCGTCATTTACAGCAACTTCTGACTCAGTAACTGATGCAAAGTCTTTATCTCCTGCTTCATCTCCAGAAACGTCTGATTTTTCCTCTGACATGGCATCCATGTATTCATCGTCTGAGTCGGATTCATCTTCATCCGAATTGTGTTCCTGAAATTCGGCGTCGTCGTCGGGAATCCATGCTGCTTGGTAATCTGACCATCCTTTGGGAACTCTCTTTACTTTTCTTAACTAAAAAGAGATTATTTTTTATATAAACTTACACACACAATTCCACACTAATTCCTAAAGTAAAACGAGCTAAAAATATCAAATTTACTTTCACAATTTCCAAATACTATTTTCTTACAATTTATGATCAACAAAAAAAAATTCGAAGCTCCAAGAATTATTAACCAGTTTAGAAAAACAGTTCAAAACAACTCATCACTCCATACACTCAACAATTGTTGACCTGTTAGATGAGTACACTTCCCGTCATATAAAACTGGTACACTTTTTTCCCACTGTAAACCTGTCTTCAGACTGGACACAATGGTTCGTGAATCAATTCGTTGTTGCCATTACAGATAACGAAATTGCACAAAATCTGAATATAAAATATAACGTTAAAAAATGTATAAAGTTTTTAGATAGGTATTATTTTTATTAATAACAACAAAAAACCGTATCTCATCATCATCTTTGGCTCTACAACCCTGGGTGGGTCTTGGCCTGTTCAAGAATTAGTCTCCATTCCCCCCTATCTTTCGCCTTGGCTTTCCAATTTCTGACCCCTAGATTCCTCAAGTCATCTTCGACTTGAGTTTTGAATCTAGATCTTGGCCTGCCTCTCCTCCTGGTTACTACTGGCTCTTGATAGAATATCTGTCTTAAAAACACCGTATCTAACAAATTTAATAACCAGAGATAGGGTAGCTCAACCCTATTGAACCCTATATTTAAAATGTTTGAAGGATCTTTAAACCTTGGGTATTGGCACAGGGAACATTGGAATGCATCTACCGTAATTTTATACTTCAATTCAATTAATATTTATTACAAGAACAATAAATGTGAAAAACTAACATTATACTTTATCTTGCGTATTATAAAGTATAAAATATTCGGGGCGAAAAAACGCCGTTCAAAACGTCCAGTTGCAATCCAATATCTCACTGTAATGTTATATTATAATAATTTAAAGTTATATCTAGATTATTATTATTTTTGAATTGAAATATTTTCATAAATTATAATAAAACACAAATCAATGTATGGGTTCTTAATTGAGATGGTGAAAAATTACAAAATTAATATGAGAATTTTTTAGGATGCATGTTTAAACAAATTTATTGTGACTGACTGATCGGGAATGCTCGATGTTTTAGTTTTTAGTATACTCAAAACTGGCGGTCTGTCGCACAGCCCTGCTTTTAGCTGGTTTCATATTTATTTTCGTTGAACTGGAAACAGTGCCCTATATAGAAATAAGAATGGCACATGTGACAGGATCAACGTACACAACTTGAAAAACACGATTTTTGGTTATAAGAGTTATACCAGTTTTTTATGACGCGAAAGGTACCAAACAGGCAAATAAGGAAACTGTATAAACATTGATTAAGCTGCAACTGAATGCAGTTAATTTTTTTTATAAACTATATAGTTACTATTATAGTGGTAGACGGAATTGCACATAGGTCGCTAGAGAATTCGAGATGTCGACCTTTTCAAATTGGATTTGAATTTCTGTTGATTGCTTACCTGCATTTTATAGAATAGAATAAAAATTGTACAAGAAGTAAATAAATAATGTAAATAAATCAAACCCTAAATTGAATTCCTTAATTGAATTAATGAATGAATTAATATTTTTTTCTTAGAATTCATCTACTGCTTGTGTTCCTATTTAATTTGCATTCTAACTTATTTAATTAAGATCCTGCATCTTACTGGTCTTACCTTTTGTTCTTTATCTGCAGCCTCCATTTCTTCTTCAGTTGGCCACGTCTGTTCTGCATCCAATGGATCAGGCACATTCTCAGCATCAAGAGATTCTTGTTTCATGGGATCACTCCGTTCAAGTACACGGATAACTTGCTGCTCTTCTGATTCCATGCTGTTTGTGTCTCTACTTCTAAACAAAGACAGATTGTATATTAGAAAGTATTTTCGTCTAACTCTAACTTTAAAAAAATACATAAATATTTATACAACTAAAACTTCTAATGTAAAACCATATTCAGATAAAGTTTGATAATTGAATCAATATGGAAGAGGTGATTTACAAAAGTTTATAGAGAGAACTATTCATGAATTCATTATTAAATTTTTCAAACTATTATAGTTTATTTTGTTGAGTAACTGGATTTCAAGATTGCAAGGGATTATGGTAACTCAATTCTACTGATTCAAATATCCAACCTCTACTGCTTGTGTGGTTACTTAATTTATCCAGTGTAGCTTGCTAAACCAATAAGGCTCTGACAACCGAGTAATTGTTGACATAAACAGCTGTGCGTGGAAAAGTAGATAAGTGGTAGATCCTGAGGTTAAGAAATTTGCCTCAAAGATAGGGAAAGTAGTAATAAGTCAACAGCATAAGGATGTACTTCAGTCGTCAGAGACGAAAATGCCACTGAACCTCTAAAAATCATATGAACAAGCTGAATTTTGCCGAAAATATTAATTTTGGGTCCCCAAAAAAGATGCAATACAGTTTACCACTTTTACCCCCTGGTTTTCCCCTAAAACCCGCCCTGTAGGTGGGTAAAAACGCAAAAAAATCGATTTACACAGAATCTGTACAACATAGAAAAAAATATTTGAAATAAAAGTAATTTTAAACAAAAATGTTTATAAGCATTTTTTGTGTAGTATGAACCGTTCTCTTAGAAACAACGCTTGAAGGGACCGTCGATTTTGCATGTCAGTTACACGTGCGAAATCAATGTTCAATAAAATTTGTCAGCTCGATGGTAAAAATTCGACATCTTTTGATTCAAGTTACCTATTAACAAAAAACAAAAACGTTTTAAATGTAAAGAGTGCAGGTTTCATAGTCTGCAGTAGTAGCACTTTAGGAGTCAACTCTCTGACGACTGGACTAATGCAGATAACAAGGTAAACATACTCCATTGAAGTTTTATTAGACTATGTAATTAGAAATATCTCTAGTAAAATGACAGCGATTAGAAATATATATATTTTATATACCGATCATGAAACTTTGAATTCAAGATATAGCAGGGAATGTATATCCGGATTAGACAGAACAATTTACAAAATTACATTGTTGCTTTCTATAACAAAGGATTTTCTGGACATAAAGTTCCTCAAAATTTAGGTACTCCTCAAGGAACAAGAATTGAATGTAAAATGGCTTCATGCTTTTAATAGACCAATTTCAAGAGACACTAGTTTGATTATAATGAAAAAATGGTAAATGGATTCTACAACATAAGTTTTTGCAAACAACTCTTAACTTACTTTAAATATTCAAACGTTCATTTAATTTTATGCAAAGGGCACTACCTATAAACATACAAAAAAGAAACCAATTTTTATCAACAAAAGAGCACCAAAACTGAGTTCAATGTAAATGGTATTCAGTTATATAAAGAAAAGAATCTAAATTGATGTCTGTGTTGAAGATACACAAAGTACAGTTAATCAAATGGAAGGGAAAGAATATCACACAAGTTTACCTCAAAAGAAAGGTTAAAAGGTAAAAATTTAGCAAACAAGAAAGGATTTACACAAACAAGAATAATTTTTGAAATTTTTTTGGCCAAAAATGTGAAAAAAACGTTTTTTATGATTTTTGTTTTGGACAACTATAAAAAGTACAAAAAAAAAGTACAAAAAACCTTTTAAAAGTGGAAAAAATTAATGAAAAATCGGAAATTACAACAAAAAGTATTATAAAAATATAAAACTGTTTACAAAATGATGAAATATATTTAGATAGATATAAATAAATATTAATACTGTTAAACAATAAAAAAATAAATAATAATATACAAATACATAATTTATTTCAATTGTAAAAAGGACTTCCACGCAACTGTGTAAAAATAGGAATTGTATACCTATTCACAGGGCGTACGCGGATGATGTGGTGATACTAACGAAAACAAAAAAACATTGAGAAAAAATTTTCCAGAAATTTTAAGAAGAAGCGAAAAGATACGGGTTAATAATAAACCAAACAAAAACGCAATATATGGAAATGAGAGGAGACAACAAATAATAACAAATATATCAAAATGAAAGAACAGAGACTGTCTATAGTTTTGAAAAAGTGTCAGAATTTTATTACTTTGAAGTAACCATAACAAACACAGGAAAAGAAGAAAAAGGGGTAGACAAAAATTAATCAAGGGAAGCAGAGTGATAAGGCCACTAAATTCATTACTGAAAGCAAAAAATGTGTCAAGAACAGCTAAACTGTGAGTCTACAAGAAAGTAATCAGACCCACAGTGATGTATGCCAGTGAAACATGGATTATGAACCAGCAGGAAGAAAAGAAAGTAGAGATTTGGGAAAGAAAGGTGCTCAGAAAACTCTTCGGAGGAACAAAGACAGCAAAGAATATTTGGAGAAGACGAATGAATAAAGAATAATGAAGATGTATGGAAAACCAGCAATTACAGCAAAAATACGGACCCAAAGAGCTAGATGGCTTAATCACATCACGCTTGGAAGGAGGGACAAATGGGAAAAAAATAAGAGGATGTCCAAAGAAGAAATGGTTGGAAACAGTAAAGTAAGACTTGTCAAAAATAAGTGTGAGAAATTGGAGAGAAAAATCAAGGGACTGAAAAAAATAGAGCGAATTAACCAAGTTTTTAGAAGCCAGGGGCCTACAAGGCCTGTAGCACTGTTATATACATATTGACAAAATTGCTACATATATAATTACTTTTTACAAAGTGAAAATGTTATTTTATATTTGAAATAATATATACGAAGTTGAAATAATAATATAATACTTATAAGAATTGAAATTATATAATTTCAATTGCAAAGACAAAATTTCAAAGAGGAAACCAAAAGTTTGTTTTTGTAAACTTAAAAATTGAAATGACGTCTCAACATTCCTTAGCAGTGACTAAAACAACCTGACTAAATCCAACCCGACTTAATCAAAACTAATATAAACAAGTTAATAACTGGAAATTGAAGTGATGTACTCCCTTCTGAAAATTTCTTAGTGACTGAAACAACCTGGCCAAAATCAACCCAACATAATTAAAACTAATATAAACAAGCTAATATTAAAACTAATATAATAACAAAAAGCAAAATAAAATATTTATTTTTTACTTTATATTTTTTTATTTATATTGTTACAAAATTTGGCAAGCAGTGGACTGAATTCCACACACCACAAGGGAGAGGGGGAGCTCAGTACACAGGTATCTTCAGGTGATGTGGTCTGCCCTGATGATCTTATGAAGAGAAAAAAGGAGAAAGGAGAAAAAAGATTAGTGCGTAATGTGGTAGGCACTATGCCAAAACTAATAATTGATGTCTTTTAAAATATAAGGGTGACTCTACAGAGTGGTATTGCTGAATAAATATTTGGTCCGATTCATTTTACACCAGACATTCCTTTTCCTTTGTGTTTATTTTATATTTATTTTAGTTAATAAAAGTATTAGATATTGTTGATACAAGGAAAGAGAGAGGATAGGTAACATTCATTTAATAAACTTTTCAAAAGTAAAGCCAGTTTCGATGTGGCCACATATTTTGTGACTGTATGTTGCCCATTATTACCTCTCACAGGGTTATCAGGTCTACTGATTTCAACTTCAATTTACTTATTTACTGAAAGACTATATTGATATACTAAAAAATATGTAATGATAAAATCATGTTCAAAAAGTGATCAATCTGTCAATAATGTTCAATTACAAATTTTAAAAAAATCTATTTATTGATATATATATATATATATATATATATATATATATATATATATATATATATAAATATATATATATATATATATATATATAATATATATATATATATCCATTATTCTCAATCTATGAAGAAATAAAATATGACCTGGCAACTTTTCTGGTACTAGTTGGTGCCAATTTAGGCTTCAGTCAATTCCATGATTACATGTCCCCTCTCTTTCCTTTTCTAAGCTTGATTCATTGGCAAAACCACATAGTATTAAATAAGGTTAATTGTATCTGCTTAATTTATAATAGCTAACAAATTCTAATTCAGAAAAAAAAATTGTTTTGCATATTGGTTTTAGTCCAATTCATATTATTACTACTATAACCACTACTTATTACAAATGAAACAATTAGTTTTACTCACTTCTTTTCATGTTTAAAAGGATCATTTGGAGCGTCAATCTGAGACATTTGGAAATCTCCTAATCCAGGAATATGAACCAACTGATTTACGGATAGTGCAGTACCTCTTAAATATCCACTAATTTTTAAAGTTCCTAGAGTTCCTGAAAGTTAAAGACACATAGTAGGAAGCAGATTATTATAAAATGCCTAAAAATTATTGCTTGTTACAATTAGTTAAATTATGGTTTTTAATTTAATTCTGAGGTTAAAATAGCATTTGGGATTTAATATTATAAATGCAGAACCATTATTGCACCTATTGCATTTGGAGAATATTTTTTAGCTATACAGACCTTCAGATAGTCCAGACTTCCAATAACAAATTAGAATAACTGTATGTAACATTGTGTGCGAAAGAAACCAGTAAGAATATAGTAAAGAAATACTAAGAAAATATAGCTTAAATCTATATAAGAAAAAAAATTAATGAATATCAAGAAATAAGAATATTTATGTATTTCATAACAATAATAAATACCTTCCGCATCTGGAACATAATCAACACTTTTACTAAAAATATGTGGTCGTCTGTCTCTATATAATACCGACTTTCTTTTTTGGCTACCGATTTTTCGTAAAACATTGACTCCATCCACATTTTTATCCATCACTAAAACTTTCTCTTCAGGCAACCATTTATTTACTAATTTTTGAATTTGTTGTTTGTGTTCATTCCTTCTCTTTGGTACAATGCTTTCCAGATCAGTAATAACAACTAGAGGAGTTGGCAAACCCTAAAATGCATTTGTACATACTTGATATTTTTAACTGGATATGAATGTATCTATTGATGTTTTTCACTTAAAAATTTACATATACTATATCATTTAAAGCTACTACTCACTACTATACTTTTGTATAGTAATTAAATAAAGTATATAATGAGAAATTCTCAAAAGAATTGGTCTAAGTGTAAAACAAAATCTTTCTTAATCTATATTAAACAAATCTAAAAGTGATGTTGAAAATTATTTTGTACAAAAATTGCTATTTCGGAATTACCTGGGCAAAGGAAGAAGATAATATAGAATTTCCCCAATTATCAATAACAACTTCACTATCCTCAATTCCTGTTGCAGCTGATATCAAAAAAAGTACAGTATCTGCAACTTTTAAAGTATCTAATACAGCAAAATCATGATCTCTATCAGGAACAACAAATTCAAACCTCTGTTTAAATCTCGGTACACTAAAAAAAACAATTTTTAGTATAGTACATAACCAAATGTTTTGTAACATACCTTAGGTGGGTGGACCCTGTTGAGGATTTGGATAGTATAGCTTCTTCATCGCACTGACATAGTAACGTTAATGCCGTATGTGGGTCTATATCTTTATTTAATGGTACAAGGCAAACTAAAAATGGGGCAAAATCTAGTCCCCCCAGAGATCGTTTTTTAGCAAGAACTTCATCTCTCTTGTTTTGTCTAATTTGTACCGCCTGATTCCGCCTCTCACCTCTGTTTAGTTCTCTTTTATTACGCTTAGATAGAGTTTTAACTGAAACCTTTCCTAAAATAATGAATAATAAAATTTGGACAATATTGACATAACCTTAAAAGTACCTTTTGTTGTTACGCTTATCGATCCTTTTGAGCGGTGTCGTCCGTGTTTATGTTCTTTATTGGTTTGCTTGTAAGCACCTGGTCTATGCGCTATTCCTTTTTCAATCGCCATCGTTAATATTTTGTAAAAACTATCAATATTGTACAAAGCACATGGTAAATATGACCAGTGTCAAACTAATTAATTATCTTACCCAGTGTTGCCAAGTTAGCAAAATAATTTTTATCAGACTTTATTATAAAAATATAGGAGTACATAAGTAGTAAACATTAAATTTTTCTTTAAACTAAATTTTCTGTACTACTAGAGGAAAAACAGCTCATGCTCTAGTAAATATTATAATTCACTAGCAAATAGATGATGAACAAATTCTTAGAGGAATTCAAAAACATGTTCCAACAATTAGTACAACAAAACACCATGGTCCTAAACATGCTGACAACGCTTATATCTAATATTCAATAGCTTCATTAAAATAGCAGAGTGGAATGCCAATGGACTTCCAAAATACAAAAATGAGGTCGAGTTATTTCTACTACATAACTAAATTGACATTCTGTTAATAAGTGAAACATTTTTTACAAGTCAAGCTTACTTCAAGATATCCCACTACACAACCTACTCCTCAAACCACCCAGACAATATAGCCCACGCTGGATCAGCTATTCTGATAAAAAATACTATTAAACATGTAGAACTACCAAAGTATGCTGAAAATTGCTTGCAAGCTACAGTTATCAAAGTCAGTCTGAGGTCTTACGAACTAACAGTCGCAGTAGTCTACTGTCCACCCCGATACAACTTAAAGAAAGAAGACTTCAAAAACTTCTTCGAAACTCTAGGACATAAATTTATTGCAGGGGGAGACTTCAACAGCAAACTCGTCTCACAACAACTAAAGGCAGAGAGTAAGCCTAATACATGAAAACAACTACCACCCTTTTTCAACAGGCTCTCCTACGTACTGGCCAACGGATAAAAAAAAAACACCTGATCTGCTGGATCTATTTATTACTCAGGGCATCTCTCCTGGTTACATGGACATCATGCCGAACTATGATCTCTCATTTGACCACTCCCCAATTATAGAAACCATCAGCAGCTTTATAATCTACAAAACAGCCACACCAAGGCTACATGCTGGTAGAACTAACTGGGAAAATACCGTAGCAAATTAGAGGAAGATATTAGTCTACAAATAAGCCTCAAAACAACAAGAGAGATAGACGAAACATTAACGGCTTTAAACAATACTCTTATAGAGGGCGTACAAAATGCTACACCTGCGAACAATACAGGTAGCAAAGCCCAATACATCCCAGCTGAAATTAAAAAGTTGGTAGCTCAAGAAAGGAAAGCTAGAACTAAATGGCACCAAACCCATGCCCAGCAGACAAGACTACATTAAACAGGCTAAGCAATAAACTAAAATCCAAACTTAAAGAGGCACAAGAACTGTAATTTACAAACTACATAACAAATCTAAACCGGTACGATAACTCAAAATGGAAACCGATCAAAAACTCCAAAAAACCCAAGATTCCGGAACCTCCAACTAGAAACGAACAGTGACCAACACTACAGTGGGCCAGAAGTGATAAAGAAAAAACAACGCTATTTGCCGAGCACCTAGCTCAAGTATTTATTTCCAATTACGACGCTCCAGATATTGAAATTGAAAGGGACATAAATAAGATTCCCGAGAACATACTAGTAATCAAACCACTAACCAAAAATGAAGTTCAACAAGAAATCCAATATTTAAACATTAGAAAAGCTCATGGGCTGGAAAAAATAACACCCAAGATAATGAAGGAACTACCAGATAAAGAAATCATACTGATAACTCTCATCTTATCTCTCAAAAAAAATACCCAACCACCAATTTGGCTTTCGAAAAAAAAAAAAAAAACAGCAGGTTCATATAATAGTACACATCATAAATTCTGCAATGGAAAGCAAAAACTACTGCACAGCTGCTTTTCTAGATATTAGTGAAGCCTTTGATAAGGTTTGACACACAGGCCTGATTTTCAAAATCAAGAAATATTTATCCATCACGTACCTGAAACTGTTAAAATCCTATCTGAGTGGGAGAGAATTCTGAACAAGAGTGAATGAAGGTAATTCTAATAATTTTAATATAAAATCTGGTGTTCCACAGGGCAGCGTTCTTGGACCAACATTATACGTGTTATACACAGAAGATTATCCTTGCAGCCTACGAAAATCCAATTATGGCATCTAACATTCTACAGGTACAACTGAATGAAATCGAGACATGGTCTTACAAGTGGAGAATTAAAACGAATGAAACAAAATCAGTCCAAGTGACTTTTACCTTGAGAAGAGACCCGTGTCCCCAAGTTTCCCTTAACAATATCCAACTTCCCCAATCCTCTAGCACTAAATACCTAGGAATATATCTTGACTCAAATCACCTGGAAAGAACATATTCTTAAGAAGCGGAAACAAATTGACCTAATGAAAGATCTAAACTGGTTAGAAGGCGGGAAATCGAAACTGAGCCTTAAAAACCAAATCCTTTTATACAAAACCGTTATAAAACCTATCTGGATGTATGGAATCCAACTCTGGGGATGTTCGAGCAAGTCAAACACAGCCATAATTCAAAGATGCCAATCAAAAATACTCCGAACTATAGTTGATGCAGCTTGGTATTTGTCAAACCTAACACTTCATGAAGACCTAAGAATCCCGTTCGTACAGGATGTAATCACTAAATACAGCACGAAGCACCATGAAGCACTGGAATCACATAGTAACCCCTTACTCCAACCTCTGCTAGAACACCAAGCCAATAGGAGACTCAAAAGAAACTGGCCAGCTGACCTGAAAAACGGTTAAAGTAGTCTTGTCAATGGAGAAGACCTCACCTACCACGCCAATAGGAGCCCCTTGCTCCACAGCCAGCAAATTAGCTTATAGAACTTTATTCTTTTTATTTATTTATTTTTTTTATTGCCTTTAGGGTAAATACCCACACAGCCAGACACAAATTTTTAATAACAGATACAAGGATTACACAGGGATTACACTCTTCTCGCCCAGGGACCGATCAGGGCATTTTTATAAACGATAAAAGGTAGTCTTCGGACAGATAGGTATACATACATTAAGGAAAGACATCAGGTATTAACAAAGGTGGTTATATTTGTATATCCGTTGTTCTGACGAAAGACAGCAAACAATATGGGCTACTATATGGGCTTTCAATGTTTAATTTTAAAAGTTTTCTGAAAAGCTCATTAGATTGAGCTCTATATTTTAAACAATCAAAAAAGATGTGGGCCAGATCACCGATTTTATTACAGGCTTCCCAAAGATCGCTCTCAAGTATTTTTATTTTAAATAAATGTGCTGGATAACATGCGTGATCACAGTCTGTTTGGTTTTATCTATATTCATTGTTAGTCCCATCTTTTTGCTCTGTATAATGATGTCTATAAGAATTTGTAAATCTTATATATTTTCTGCCATGATTGCGGTATTGTCTGCAAATATAATGTTATAAATGATGCTCCATCATTAAAATATTATTGAATTGAGTAAAGAAGAAACTGGATATGTATTTTTTATAAGAGAATGGCCGTAGATACAGCCACAAGAAAAATAGATCATTTTCCAAAATTTCTACATTCAGTTTTCCAGAACATAAAATTAATTGATTTTACCATTTTATTAAAAAGCCTTAAAAGTAGGTAGAAATTTTATAATATTTTGTGAAACCTTAAGCGCTTCTTTATCCATTATAATTCCTGATAAAAAATTTATTTTTTTAATTTATGAAATCTGTGTAATATTCTTACATCAGACAACATTGACAAAGAGTACTTTGACAACTTGTCTAGTCAGTTTCAGAACAACCAACATGAGGAGCTAAATGTTTTCAAATAATATTAATCTTTCTTATGCTGGGATATTATCTTTGTTCTATAAAATGTTGGTGTCAATGATTTCTAACCATGCGCAATTCAAACCATGTGTTTATCACCGGTTGTTTTGCAAGGACCGCACGCATTTTTGTCATTCAAAACACGTGTTTTTAACCAAAAGATATTTAATAAGAAATTGCAGAAATTGTTATGTTATAAAAATGGGCATTGACAGTGATTTAAATCAGTGTATAAGGAACTTTTTAGCTGTCAATGACGAATTTTCTAGTGTGTTGAAGGTAAATAATTTTAAAATTTCTTGTTTACTTTTACTTTACTTTTAAATTTTATGGCTTTTAGTTAATAAACAGCGAATTAAAATCAAAGACAAATGATGAAAACGAAAAGAATAAGCGTCTCTTTTATTATTTAACACAAGAAATGTTTTTGAATCCAGGGAACTTTGATGAAATTTTTACAAATTTTTCCAAGCATCTACCACATCTGCTTCAAGTTGCTTTGTTTTCAAATAAAAAAGGAGCTAATGAACATACCCAACAGATTTTGAAGACTATATTATTGGGGAGAATTGTTGTCAAAAGAAAAGATCTGCAGGGGTGAGAATTGACTAATTAAATTGACAATATTGTGTAATCATGTTCTTCATTAATTTTTTCAAAACAAATACAAATTATAACTTCCACATTAATAAAAATGGTTTATTTTTTAGATATGCTTTAAAATACTTCACAAGTAATCCATTAACACTAGAAAATTTAGATTCTATGGAAAGCACATCCAAGAAACCTAAAATGGAAAAGCTGTACACAGATTTGCATTTTGTTGAAGCATGTTATCACTTGTTAAAAAGCAATCCTAACTTTTATAGAAACAAATGGAGTTGGTCTGCATTTATTGAAAAATATCTTAACCATGAAGATAATAAAATAAAATGGTGATTTCTTATTTTTTTTTGTTGGAATGTAGTTAAAATATTGCTAGATCATATTTTTTATATATACTTTGTGTTTTTAGGTTTTCCTGTCAAATTTCAGCAATTCTTTTTGGTATGTGTGAAAAACAAACCAAAAAACTAATCTTAAATCATATTCCAATTGAACTTGACACAGAGTACTGCTGTATTTTTAATTTAAAAGGAACTTTAATCGATTCTACCACACCAACAGGTACCTCTAATTCAATTTGGATGCTTCCTGCAGGAGACATTGATGATTTGCTTAATATATCTGGAATATATGTGCCAATTTTATCCAATCAGTCAAATATAGAGACAAATCTGGTTGAAGTGCTGTCTACTGTAAACAATTTAAGAAAAGTCGCTTTAGGGCTTACTTTAAACAAAGCTATTTGCCTTCAGGGACCTGTAGGATCTGGTAAGTTATGTATCATATTAATATTTAACTTTTACTTAAAACATTAAAAATTTTTTTATGCTTAACATGCAAAAAATTATTGAGTAATATGGTATTTCGAGCAAAAGTTTGAAATAACAAAGAGAGAAAGACTAGAAAATAGTTGAAAAGGAAGGAAAACTAATTAGTGATAGTAAGCAACAGAAAAATAAAAATTAAAGGCACAACAGTAGCTATATAGTAAATAATCAATGAAGTGTGTTCATATAGTCAAACCAACAGCAAATAATTTTCTTACTTAGGAACAACATTGAGAACTACAAGCCAAGATTTCCGAAACTATCAGCTTTATGAGTCATGCACTTAAAATTTTTCTTAAAATCATACATGCCAGAATTTACAAGAAATGTGAAGAAAATGTTGGTGAAATACAATTTGGATTCCGCAATTCCATGGGTACATGTGAAGCACTTTTCACCTTACAAGTCATACTTCAGAGATGCTGACTACACCAGCATGTCTGTTTTATTGACCACGCCAAGGCATTTGACCGTTGTCAGCACCAGAAGATGTTCGCTGCCCTACAAAGAGTAGGATTGGATGAGAAGGACATTCAGATCATTGTGAACTTATACTGGAACCAGTGTGCTCAAGTCAAGGTCGAAGATCAGCTGACTGACAAAGTGAAGATCATGCGAGGAGTAAGGCAAGGTTGTATGCTCTCGCCGACTGTTTTTAATATATACTCTGAAATTTTTACTGAAGCCCTCACAAACCTAGAGATGGGAATCCAAGTGAAAGGTGAATACATCAATAATATCCACTACGCTATGCTGATGATGTGTTACTAGCAACCAGCCTAAATTATCTACAAGCCTTACTAGTCCTGAGAACTGCGAGCATAACATACGGACTAGACCTTAATATTAAGAAAACTAAATTCATGGTTGTCAGCCATGCAAATTTAAATCCCAGGGAACTAATAGCCGGTAGCGAAGAGATCCAGAGTCGAAAGATTCACTTATCTCTGAACTACCCTCACCTCACAATGGAACTATGCTCAAGAGATTAGATCCATAATTGAAATGGCTCTGTCTACATTTATCAAGTTGAGATCCTTGCTGTGCTGCAGTGATCTCAATTTGGGAACCAAGATGCAGATAGTGAGGTGCTACATTCTTACAGTGTTACTATAAGGAGTTGAAGTCTTCGAGATACTAAAATACAGGAGGATACTAAAAATATCTTATGTGGACCATGTCACCAACGTTGAGGTCCTACAGTACACGAGAAAAGAAAAAGAAGTGATTAATTTAGTCAAACAATGTAAGCTTGAGTATCTAGGGCACATGATGCTGAATGAAGAAAAATATTAAATTCTTCAACTCGTTATGCAGTCAACTTCGACAATGGTTTGGGCTGACCTCCGCGGAGCTGTTTCGCAGAGCAGTCAACAAAACCATGATAGCCTTGATGATCGCCAACATCCAGACTGGATAAGGCACTGTAGAAGAAGAAGAAGGAACAACACATTATTGTTAATCGCTATTGCAGTGGAAGTCTTAGGCTAAGGCCAGTACAACCATGGGAAAAAATAAACCATTCAAGGATAAGTGTACAACAAGAAACTTTTAAGTTTTATGAGTTACAATATTTAGATTGCTGCCATACCACAGTGAGTTAGACTGTATTGAATCATTCTAGGCACAAATCAAAGGAAATATAGAAAAAGTAAAAAAAAAATGAAAGAGCTACAGTAACCCTATTTTACACAATAAGCTCTCCATTGAAAAGAAACATTCACCTGAGTGAGACACCACTTTTGTCTTTCATGAATTCTCACCCTTTTATAGGTTTAGCATGATAGAAAGGAGGGACTTAGTTAAAAGGCTTTTGATAAAGGGATCATAAGATAGACGAAGTGAAACTGATAGGTAAATACACATGTTTTACAGTGTGACATTTTCCTAGCTGAAGTGAAAAAAATTGACTTTTTTTCATTTTTTGTGTAGTCACCTTTTTACTTATAATGGTAGGTCTCTTAAAAATGAGGATGGAGTGGCAGCGGACGCGCAAAATTTGCTATTCATGAGAACCTGGAGAAGATCGGCAAGGTTGAAGACATAGTTTGGGGAAGGCCAAGGCTCGATTTGGGCTGTAGCGCCATTGGAGAGAGAGAAAGAGCACTTTTGTATCAGGAGTTGCATACAAAATAGTGTGTCTGTGATAACTAACCCACCCTTTAAACCAAACAACGATTCTCCAGTAAACTCTTCACAACTTTTAAATATTCTCCCTTATGGATGAGAAATTCTTTGAACACATGGCTTATGAGACTAATAAGTCTGTGTTCCTCGCAACTTTTGATATTTGGCTAGAAACATGCTCGCTGTCATCAATTTTGTTCACACAGGATCTTCCAATCCTCAGCTTCAGGACTTCAGCTTCTTCTTATTTATGATTATTACAATTTAACTCATGTTACTAACTAAATTTATAATATTTTAGGTAAAACTAGTCTTGTTGAATATTTTGCTGAGAAAACTGGCAGAAACTTAGGAGACAGTTTCATCAAAGTACAACTTGGTGATCAAACTGACAGCAAAATGTTACTTGGAACATATAGATGTACCGACATACCAGGAGAATTTGTTTGGCAACCCGGAGTACTAACACAGGTAATGACTATTATCAGTGTGTTTGTATTTTTCTATTCTGTAGGACGTGAATATCTAATAATAAATCTTTTTTGGCATACAGTATGTTTAAATTAAATACAGTTAACAGGTAATATTTTTATATTTTAGGCTGTCCTAGAAGGGAACTGGCTTCTTTTGGAAGATATAGATTCAGCAAGTATGGATATTGCTTCAATGCTGACTAGTTTGTTGGAAAACAATTCATTAACTGTACCAGGATATAGGGACTCTGTACCAGTAAATCCAGGATTTCAACTGTTTGTAACCCAAAGGTAGAACAATTATATTATTTATGGAAAAAGTCTGAAGAGAATCGTTTTAATAAATTTTTACTTGATTTCTAGCAATTTTGAGTACCTAAGTTAAGTGTGCATGCAAGTCTTTTTTTAGGAGACTACTGCAACCTACTTTTTCCACCTTTTCTACCACCTATTCAAGAGAGCCACTTCCTTCTTGCGATTTAATACTCTCAGCGCTAGAATTATCATCAATATCCTCGTCGACAAATTTACTACCATCTTCAGATTCAGTAAAATCTGACTGTTTCCTAGTTTTACCTCCTCGCCTATCTCCCCTATCTCTCCTACCTCGCCTGGAGTGCCATCTGCTTCTTCTTCTTTTTCTGCATCTACCTCTCCTTCTTTTAGAATGCATAAGCTTTTTTTTTTGATATGGTCCCTTGTAATGTTACCTTTTGTTCTTTAGTTGCAGCGTTTATATCTTCTTCAGTATATCTATTCTGTATTCATTGGATTTAGAAATACTTGTTTCAAAGTATAATGTCGTCAAATGACCCGGATAACTGATTATTCGTCATATTCGGTTTTATTATATTTAAAAATTTTACTACATTTCATTTCTGTTTAAAAAAGCATTTCTTTAAGTTCAAACTCAGTTTGTATTTTAATTTATTGTTTCAGATTTGTTTCTACAATCTCAGGTCATCATAAGAAGCACTCAAATGCAATGTCACTCTTGGAAAAACACCTGCTGCAGATCAATGTAGACCCTCTAACCAAAGATGAGTTAAAACAGATCGTGGATACGAAATATCCCGAGTTTCGTACAATCTCTGACAGATTAGTGAACGCTTTTCTGCTCTTCAGCCAAGACATGTCAGATTCTAGTAAAATAGCAATCCCAAAGAGCGGTAGACTCATTTCAACTCGAGACTTCTTTAAGTGGTGTTCAAGAGCAATTCAAGGTTTCGACGTCAAAAGTCAAGAAAGTGCTCTAAAAGTCCTGCAAGATGCAATTGATGTTTTTTGTTGTTCATATTCGGACCAAAAAGACGCTCTAGATCTAGCCAAACAGATTAGTACTAATCTAGGAATCGTTAATCACAAAGCAGAGTACTTTTTCAAAGACTACAAACCCACAATGCAACTGACTGCAGATCATTTAATTGCAGGAAGAGTTGTTTTACGTAGAGACAACAACGAACTAATAAAAAATATTAATTTTTCTTTCACCAGACCTTCATCAGTGCTTCTAGAGAGAATCATGTGCTGTATCAACTTACAAGAACCTGTTTTACTGGTAGGAGAAACTGGAACAGGTAAAACATCTTGTGTACAGTATTTGGCTCATACCATCGGCCAAAAGTTGATTGTGATCAACATGAACCAACAATCAGACTCAGCTGATTTGTTAGGAGGATTTAAACCTGTCGACTTAAAGTACATAATTGCTCCCATCAGACGAGAATTCGAAGAAATTTTCTCTGACTATTTCAAAGTAGAACCAAACAGGAAATATTTAAGCAATCTAGCGTTGTGTTTCAACAGCCAAAGATGGTCAGATTTGGTTAAATTAATGACTGTAAGCTACCAAGCAGCTGAACGTCGATTGAAGAAGTCTCTAGAAGATTTCGAACAATTAGAAGGCGAAATAGCACAAGAAAGGATAGATAAACGCAACAAAGATAAAGTATTTTTAGAACGATGGCTAGTTGTTGGAGAAAAACTACAAAAGTTGGAGATACAGTTAAAGCACACAAGCGCTTTAGCTTTTGCTTTCATAGAAGGAAGTCTTGTTAAAGCTGTGGAAAATGGTTATTGGGTACTATTAGATGAAATCAATCTTGCAAATGCCGAAACTTTAGAATGTTTGTCGGGGCTTCTAGAAGGCTCGCAAGGATCTCTGTGTTTGTTAGAAAGGGGAGATAAGAAACCCGTGAAACGACACCCTAACTTTACTTTATTCGCTTGTATGAATCCTTCCACTGATGTTGGTAAGAAAGACCTACCAGCTGGGTTAAGAAATCGATTCACGGAGTTTTTCGTTGAAGAACTGAACGAGAAAAACGATTTACTTCTTTTGGTTAATAACTATCTCGAAGCAATGTCTCTAAAACCAAAGGATTTGGAAGCTATAGTCAATTTTTACTTGAAAGTTCGAAGAGAAACTATTCTGAGTCTATCAGATGGTTTGGGTCACAAGCCACATTATTCCTTGAGGTCGTTGTGTAGAGCTTTAATCATCGCATCGAAAAATCCTTGTGGAATATTCAAAAAGAGTCTTCACGAAGCGTTTTGTCTTAGTTTTCTAACACAGCTCGATAGCAACTCATATTCTACAGTGGAGAAATTAATATCGCGGTAAGTACATATTATATGTGGTAACGGTGATTTGAATTCACGGTTTGTTTTATAATAAAATTTTTGATTAAAACTCGTAAGTCATTCCTTCTACCACATTAAATAGATTAGAAGTTAGGTTGCCCAAAACAATTTGAGCTTCCTTGAGTTTTACGAAATGATTTGTTTTATACAATTTTTGCTTAACAATATAATTTTTAGTTGCTTAATTGGAGATTCCAAAGCAATAAAAGCCATACTCAATCAACCAATACCTGAACCAGATAGTGATCAAGAAAAATTTATTCAATTCGAAGGGTATTGGGTTAAAAAAGGCCAGTTAGATCCCTCTATGCCCGAAGATTATATATTAACAGCATCTGTTAGAAAAAATCTGAAGGATTTGGTTAGAGTTGTATCCATAGGAAGATTGCCAGTTTTATTACAGGTTTGTATTTTGACAGTATTTATGATAGGTCTGTAGTGATTTTTTTTATCGAAACCTATGTTCAGTATCACATTATTTCATATTTATTTTAAAACCATATTTTACTATCACTTCCTAACGTTGTAAATAAATAATTTAAATACTTGAGCTCAAACATTTTTTCCTTCTTAGGTGTTTAGCTTTCACCACTTTTAATTCCTGTTTTTTTTATTTTTTTCTGATATAATCCTTTATCTTAGGCAAACATAATCGTAATTATAATTTGCTATGCTTCACAATGTAAACTGTCACAGATCAGCTGTTCAGCACTCAAAACGTGGACTTAATAGTTTACCTGCTTTTTAGTTCTGATTTGACACCAAGTGAATTTTTCACATAAATGTGACAACTCTTTTATTATTTATACGATTTCATTAGTTGTGTTTAAACAATTAAGGTCTACACCTTATATATGATTTTAGGGTGATACTTCAGTAGGGAAAACTTCTCTGATCACTTACTTGGCAAAATCTAGCGGTAACAAATGTGTTCGAATCAACAACCACGAGCACACTGACTTGCAAGAGTACATAGGATCGTATGAGGCTGATTTGGATGGTAAACTAGTATTTAGAGAAGGACTTCTTGTGGAAGCTATGCGTAAAGGTCATTGGATCATTCTGGACGAACTCAATTTGGCTCCGACTGATGTTCTAGAAGCTTTAAATCGAGTACTCGATGATAATAGAGAACTGTTTATTCCTGAGACACAGGAAATTGTTAAAGCCGATCAAAATTTCATGCTTTTTGCTACGCAGAATCCACCAGGAGCGTATGGAGGAAGGAAAATGTTGTCCAGGGCGTTTAGAAATAGGTAAAAATTGTTACGTATTCTTTTTAACACATTCATTCAATATTACAGCATACAGCAGTTATATTTTTATTTTGTCGTTCAAATTTCAAAATATTTAGTTTCTCTCATACTGTGTACATGTTACAGGTTTGTGGAACTGCATTTTAATGAAATTCCTCCACAAGAACTAGAATTTATCCTACACCAAAGATGTCAGATGGCGCCAAGCTATGCAAAGAAAATGATCAAGGTCATGACTGACTTACAGGTAATTGCTACAGTTTTGAAACTTTTTTACATTTTACGGCACAGTTGTTGGGAATTTTTCTTTAATGTATAGCCAGCAATTCACGGATATGTAGTAAACTGTTTTTATTTGCAAAAAAACAACTCAAATTCCTACAATATATAAAATTAATAATATAAAAACTAATTAATTCCCATTACTTACTGTTCTTTTGCTGTCTGCTAAATTATTTAATTTTTTTCCCTAATCGGTGACAGTTTGTTTTCTGAAGTTTTAATTTTATATCTGAAATAATCTATAGAAGCAACGGAAAATTTTTGGTAACATTATAAAAAAATAATAAAAATTCGTAACACTCCCACCCGGTACAGTTCTATGCGAAAGAGAAACTGTACCACTTATTTTTCATCATCTTTTTGGTCTCTATTTATTGGTATTACTGCTAATTTTATAACAGCACGTTTATATATTCCATTTTTTGTTTGTTTGAACTATTGCTCGTCGCACTTGCCCATTTAGGTGATTTTTTAACTTCAATTACCTTACCCTTTGGCCTATTGCATCTTGGTAAATCTTTATCACATATAATTACAATATTGCCCTGTTTAATTGGTACAACTTGTTTATGCCATTTTGCCCTAAGTAGTCGTTCAGGTATGTATTCAGAAATAAAGAGTCACCAACATTTATTTGCAAATTGCTCTCTGTATAAATAATTAAATTTAAATACTTTAACATTTTTGTTTGAAAATCCAAATGGTTTATCTCCGTTTGAAGTTCCAATTAAAAAAATGGTATGGGGTTAGAGATTCAGATTCTTCAGATTCTATTGGAAGATAAGTAAGTGGTATTGAGTTTACTATGTTTTCTGCAGCTATGAGACAACTATAAAGTAATTGGTCAGTAGAGTTCCTGGTTGGTAATGAACCATATAACGAAATTTTAATTGCTTTCACTAGGCGCCACCCTTATGTGAGGAAAGGGGTGCGTTGAAGTGAAATTTTAGCTCTGGGCTAATCAATGAATTGGCTATTAATTGTCAACCTTTTGCAGCTCTTCTCTCAATACTCGTTCAGCTGCAATGAAATTCGTACCTCGATCACAATAAATATGCTTTGGTCGTCCTCTTCTGTTAATAAAATTTGTCAAGCATGGTATAAAATTGTCCACATCTAGTTTGTAAGCTACTTCGAAATGGACTGCTCTAGTCGTGAGACACGTAAATAAAGCTCCACATCTTTTCTCCGTTCGTCTTTTAACAGTTACATTTATTGGACCAAAATAATCCATACCATTGTGTGTAAACGGAGCAGTAAATGTTGCAGGTCTACATGGTGGTAGAGGTGACATTTCTGGTTGTTTTGGCTTAGAAAATTTGACCTTGCAATTTTGACAATTGGTCCTAATCTTATTAACTAGTTGTCTAAGTTTTAATATATAAAATTTTTGTCTCAAATCTCATTTACTACAATTTCATGATTTCTATGGTATTATCTTGTGTGATAGTCTTCAATAACTAGTAAAGTTAAACGACTTTCTCTCGGTAAAATTATTGGCCTTTTTGTTTTTGAAATAACGTTTCTAGCTTCATCCAATCTTCCTCTTATACGAAAGAAAACCATGTTCATCCATCATCATCATCATCATCATCATCATCATCCAGCCTCTATTTATCACGTCCACTGCTGGACATAGGCCTCCCTTAAACTCCTCAATTCCTCACGATTTTGTGCTCTTTGTTGCCAATTTTTAGTGATACGCCTGATGTCGTCGGCCCAACGTGTAGGTGGTCTTCCTCTACTGCGTTTGTCTGCTCTTGGCCTCCAAGAGCATGTACATCCATATATGGCGATAATTTCAATAAATTGCTTGGTTTATTAACTGTTTTTTATAAACTACCAGAATTATTAATTTTTAATTGTTTTATTTTATTTTTGTAATATTCACATTGAGTTTGCTTTATTAAAATAGTCCTAGCATCTAAAAGTTCTTCCGAAGTTAATATTCCTTTAGGCTCATCAGATTTCATTAATTTTGCATAAACAATTCTTAAAAATCGAAACATATATTTATGCAGTTGCTCTTAAACTTCTGTTAAATTGACCGAATCTTTGAAATTCTATTAAAAGTGGACTATTAAAATTTATTTCATAAGTGGTTAAGATTTCATCGGCTTTTTCCTTTTTAAGAGTGGTGTCTGGAGGTCAACTGTTTTCTAATTGATACAGAATCAGGTCCTTTAAACCAACACCTTGTGTTTTTCAAATTGGGACGTTTTGTCCATTTAATAGTTTCATCGGCTATGCTATTCTTAGTATGTACATATCTCCAATGTGATACAATTGAGTTTTGTTGAATTTCGGCCAATCTATAAGCTACATATCTGTTTCATTGATTATATTTCAAATTGAAAATAAAATGATCTTCCTTTAAATGCCACCACATTACTAGAACCTTCTTCATGCTCTTATTGTTTTCTAGGTCTAGGTTGACTTCTTAACAATAGTACTATAACATTGTGATCCTGTAAATTTTGTGTGTAGGTAAAATATCTGCATGTTTGTATCATTCAGGTAATTATGCGTCAATAATAAATTGCTTAGTGGTCTAGCAATTGTTGCTTAAACAGTAGGTATAGTTATTTTTTCGTTTTCTTTGTGGATTGAACTTTACTGAATGTGATACATAACTGCAAGTGAAACGTTCTTAAGCTGCAACATCGACAGAGAGCACTTTTAGTTTGGGCAACAACACTGTACTACGTCATTCTAGAAAGCAATCAATGTCATAACCAATCGGTCTTTAAACCGATAAAACCCCACGCCGCTTCTGTAATACTTTTTCCATAAAACTGCTTACTTTGATGTCACTTTTCTATATTCAAAATTGTCTGGCTTATTCTAGCTCTCGGACTAATAATTGTGTTAAAAAATCGATTTAAATAATTTGCAGAGCTGTAAGATATTTTTGTATGTTCATTTACGTGAGTTTCAACTCTGTCTATTTTTTAAATACCATATATATATATATATATATATATATATATATATATATATATATATATATATATGCAAGGATTTCCACAGTTTTCACTGTATTCCTTCACTCAACCGTTTTCTTTAATTTTTCCTGTTTAGCCAGTCCCCTTCCTGTAGGTTTCTTTTTCTCATTGCTTCGTCCACTTCATCTCTGAAGGATCTTCGAGGTCGCCTCTCTTTCTTCTTCCTATCGGGCTCCACACTGTTATTCTATTTATTCACCGATTTTGGTCTGCTCTTCTGACATGTCCGTACCAGGTTAACCTCTTCTGTTCGATGTAGTCTATTATGTCGGAGTTCATTCCCATTCTCCTCTTAATCGCCATGCTATTTATTCTATCTCTCCTTGTTACTCTGCAGCTTCTCCTTAGGAATTCCATCTCTGTTGCTCTTATTTTGTTTTTGGTTTTCTTATTTATTGTCAAATTTTCACACCCATAAGTGAGGATACTTCTTGTCATGGTATTATATATTTTTTTCTTTGTTTTCATGCTGATGTTCTTATCCCATAGTACCGGGTTCAATTTTCGTATGCAGTCTCTTGTTTGTCCTAGTCTATGTTTTATATCTTCCTCCGTTGTTCCTTTGTTTGATATTATGAAACCTAAATACTTATACTTGTCTGTACCTTTGATTTGTTTACCTTCGTCTATTTCCAGCTGTTTTATTTCTGTATTCTACGTTGTTAGGTATTCAGTTTTCTTTAGGTTTATTTCCATCCCATTCTTTGTATATTCCTGCTACAGTTTTCTCATCACAAAACTGAGGTCATCCTCGTCTTGTGCGATCACTATTTGTCGTCAGCAAAACTTAGCGTATATAGATATTCGTTCCTTACTGGTATACCCATTCCTTCGCACTTCCTTTTCCATGGTTTCAGGGTTTTTTCCAGGAATATTTTGAACAGGATGGGGGATGTGGAGCAACCCTGTAGTAGTCCCTTTGTCGTCTTAAATGGACTGCATATTCTATTGCCCGTTTTTATAGCTACTTCCGTATTCTTGTAGAGTGCTTTTACCGCGTTTATTAATCTTCGTGGAACTTCGATGTCTTCAATTGCTTCCCATAGCTTGGTTCTAGGTATTGAGTCATATGCCTTCTTAAGATCAACAAAAGCCAGATGGACGGATCTATTTTTGGCCATTCTTTTTTCTATTAGTTGTTCGACCGTGTAAATGCGATCTGAGCATGCTTTCCCCGCTGTGAAACCTGCCTGGTCTTCTCCGATTTTATCTTGTATATATATTTCTAATTTTTCCTTTATGGTCTTTCCATACAGTCTACATAGACGATATAATGCTGATTCCCGATAGTTTTCGCAGTTTTTTCTATTTCCTTTCTTGTATATTGATGTCATATATGCTTGGGTCCATTCTGCCGGTAAGTCTTCTCCATTAAATGCTCTCTCAAACATTTTCTGTATCATACGGAATAACTTTTCCGATCCGTTTTTTATCAATTAATTTGGTATTCCGCCGGGACCTTCTGCTTTTTTGTTCTTTAGAGTTTTGATCGTTCTTTTTACCTCAGCTAGGCTTAAATCGTTTTCGTCATGTGTGTAGATTTCTATTCCGTCTATTTCTAATTCTTTGAATTCGGGGCGGTCTTCGGTTAGCATTTTTTTATAGTATTCTTGCCATTCGTTTTCTTTGGTTTGGCCGATTTTGATTTTCTCTGTCTTATTTCTTTGGAGCGACTTTAAGATGCGCCATGACTCTGAAATTCTCGTTCCTCCTATGTGCTGTTCTATCGTTGTGCATGATTTTTCCCATCTTTAATTTTTTTCATTTGCCACTTTTCTTTTCACTTCTTTATTTTTTTCCTGTATAGTTCCAAGTCCTCACAGTTTTTTGTCTTCAGGTATTTTATATGGAGTTCTTTTTTCTCTTTTATGCATGTTAGTCTGTCTTCGGTTAATTTCGTAGTTTGGTGGGTGTATTTTTGGTCCACTTCTCCAAGAGCTTCTAGGGCTGCTGTCTTCATGCAGGTTTTTATGTGTTCGTATGTTTGTTCTAATGATTCATACCGAAACTCTTCTAGCATTTGGTGCAATCTTCGCTTATATGGGTCTTTTATTGAATCTTCTTCTATCTTCTATAAATACCAAATAAACATAATATACAAAATTTCTTACTCAAATTAATTTTCAGACACGTCGTAGAGGTTCAGCTGCCTTTGCCGGTAAACAAGGTTTTATCACACTGAGGGACCTTTTCAGATGGGGAGAGCGATACAGATTAGCCCAGAATTCCAAGAAACTGTACGATTGGGATCAACACTTAGCAGATGAAGGTTATTTAGTATTAGCTGGAAAAGTAAGACGATCCGAAGAGAAAAATGAAATTATCGAGGTCTTGCAGAAACATTTGAAGAGGGAAGTTGATCCGGATCGTCTATTTACACGTAAGTTTATTTATGTTAAGTAAAGAACCATATGTATGTTAAAGAAAGTATAGAAGTATTTATAAAAATTCGTTACCAGGAACCAGTCATAATCAAATAACTTTCTAATAACTGACAACGTCGCAGGCATATTACAGTTATTTGTATATTAAAATTGTATATAGTCGTCCTGGTTGGTAGGGTTCATAATGTTCTGTAGTTATTTTCATATTTTCAATAGGATCCTGCCTTAGCCAGAGGGAGTTTATTGACGAATTTGTTAAGTTAGTTTAGGTTATGCTTTAGGTTATGTTATGTTTAGGTTATGTTATGTTTTAATATTTTTTAAAAAAGATTCAGCCAAATTCATCGATTTTTTTTGGTATTTCAGTATCTGATAGAACATCTACCGTTACCCAACATATACTTAAAAAAATCGAAGACAACAGGTCCAGATATAAAAACATTGTCTGGACGTACAATATGCGACAGTTGGCAGTACTGGTTTCAAAGGCACTGGATTTCAAAGAACCGGTTCTATTAGTGGGTGAAACCGGTGGAGGTAAAACGACTGTATGCAAATTAATAGCAGAAAACAACGGACAAAACCTTGTAACTGTCAATTGTCACATGCATACTGAAAGCAGCGATTTTATTGGCGGATTGAGACCTGTAAGAGATCATTCAGTAAGTATAGGCAACAATGAATCAAATATATTTTTTATGCGACTGCTATTTTTAGAACGAAGAGTCTACAAGACTTTTTGAATGGGTCGACGGTCCTCTTATAACGGCCATGATACAGGGAAGCGTTTTTCTGGCTGATGAAATATCTTTGGCTGACGATAGTGTTTTAGAAAGACTTAATTCTTTATTAGGTAAGATATATCTTTAATACACATGTCTTTTAAGATTGCTTATGTATTTCCCATACTATTTACTAGATTATTCTACTACTTTTCATGTAATGTTCCGAAATAACCATTATAATAATTTTCTTAATTTAAAATATAATATAGATTAAGTAAATAATAAAATCTAATGTAATGATAATATTCTAGAGCCCGAAAGAACCCTCCTGTTGGCAGAAAAAGGAATTGATTTAAACAATAAAGAAAACTCGGAGCTCGTTGTGGCCCATCAAAACTTCTTCTTCATCGGTACCATGAATCCCGGCGGTGATTTCGGCAAAAAGGAATTGTCTCCAGCTTTAAGAAACAGATTCACCGAGATTTGGTGTGATTCGTGTAGGAACCGGGAAGATTTGGTTAGCATTATCGAACAGAATGTCAAGCCTGGTTTGTTAATGGGGGATCAGGAAGATGGTTCTAGTGGAATTGGATCTGCTATTATGGATTTCTTGGAGTGGTTTGAAATAACTGATGTTGGAAAAAGGTAAGGAAAGAATGTCAAATGTATTATATTGTTTTATTAACAAAAACGAATATTATAAACGATAAATAAAAAAAAGGTGCTCATATTTATCGTGTATCCTGATTTTGTATGATTTCGGTTTTATCTCCCTTCATTGAACTCAGATTTTGTATCTTGTTTTTTTTTATTCCTCAGCTTTTGTATCTTGTTTTTTTTATTCCTCCGCTTTTTTCTTTTCAGGTTAACAATTTTTTACTCTCTTTCACCACTCATATATGACGATCGTATCACACAGTCCTCTGCTGTACAGTCCTTCCATTTTCTTCTCGGTTTTCCTCTACCTCTCCTTACACCAACTTCTAACAGATCTATTCTTCGTCCCAAATAGTTTTCATTTCAACATCTAACGTGACCAAACCATTGCAGTCTGTCTTCTTGAATCTTTTTTGTGACTGGAGCCATCCCGGCTTAAGTCGTTCCTGATCCTGTCCGTTCTAGTTTTACCCAACATCCACCGTAACATTTTTATTTAAGCTACCTACATCTTCCTTTCGAATCTTCTTTACAGACCACTCTTCACTGCCGTATACTAAAGCAGTTCTCACGACACTCTTGTATATCTATCCTTTCAGTCCTTCCCTGATTCTTCGATTACTGAGTAATCCGCTCATTCGCTTCCAGTTTAACCAACCATATTGTTCAAATTTCTCAATTTAGTGTCTCATTTCCCGTTATGTAGGAGACAAAGTTTTTGAATTTTTCTACTCGTCTTAGTTTTTTCTATGATAGACAATTGTCTTAGACAATGTCTTAGACAATTCTATGTCCCCAATGACTCCTGTTCCTCCCAACCACATATTCTCTATTTTTGATCTACTAACCTTAACTCCTCACTCTTCAATTGCCCTTTTCCGACCCTCCAACTTATCCTCCAACATTTCTTTGCTCTCCTCCCTTATCTTTTCTGTCAGTACATCTATAACTAGATTAAACAGTTAGAGACTTAGTGAAGTATTGATGAAAACCAACCGTTATTAGGAAACTTTTGATCAAACCGACACACATCCTTAACTAAGTGGAGCATAGAACTTTAGTGAAAACGCGCCATCGGGTTCTATTTTGCGCTAAGGCTTTCACCTCATTCCAAGACTTTCCTTGGCCTCTTATCTCGTCCATGAGGGATCTTCTCCAAGTTTGTACTGGGCGACCTCTTTTTCTTTTCCCTTGGAGATTCCACTTTAGGGCAGTCTTTGCGATACTGGAACTATTTTGTCGGAGTGTGTGACCGATCCAACCCCACTTTCTGGACTTAATTTCGTATCCTCTTTTGTTCGGTCAGCTGTAGCAGATCTTCGTTTCTAATGGTGTTAGGCCAGAATATACGAACAATTCTTCGTAGACATTTTCTTCAAAGACCTGCAGTTTGTCTGTGAGGGTGTTTGTCACTTTTCAGGTTTCACATCCGTAGAGTAGAACAGACATGACATTTGATCGGAATATTCGGATCTTTGTCCTTGCAGTATACTCGCCAGATCTCCATACAGGGTTGAGCGTGCTGAAAGCTTGTTGGGCTTTTCGTATCCTCATACGTATATCGTCTTCTGTACCTCCGTTTTCTGTTATGACACTTCCAAGATACGTAAAGTTTTCCACATTTTCAATCTGCTTATTGTCGATAGTAAATAGTGTGTTGTTCATTGCATTTATTCTCATGGACTTGGTTTTACTAATATTGATTTTTAAACCTATTTTATTGGCTTCAGTGGAAAGTGTTTCCAATAGGTAATCCAGATCTTGGAACCTTTGACATAATAGGCAGATATCGTCCGCGTATTCTAGATCGCTTAGGCGTGTGGTTAACGTCTATGCTTTGGTGTACCCTCCCTCATACATATCCTTCACGAGCCTTACGTACTTCGCAGAAACCTATTTCTCTCTCATACATATTCATAGCTCTTCTCTACAAACTTTACGTTGTACGTTTTCTCAAGATCTATAAATACCAAATGGTACACGGCATCCGGTATCCTCCTTCCTGGTATAAACACAAACTGTTCTTCTTGTATCGATGTCTCTCTCCTTAACCTTCGATATACAGTTGTTTCCCAATTTTAATTGTGTGCGACATTAACTATATCCCTCTATAGTTATTACAGTTCTGAATGTCACCTTTATCTTTTACCCTCTTTTTTCGTCTTTATCTACAATGATACCATCACACTCTCTCCATGCATTGGTCATCCTTTATTCCTCATATATCCTACTTATTATTTGCCACAAAACATTAACCCCTTCATCTCCTAGAGCCTTCTAAATCTCCACAGTTCTTCCGTCAGGTCCTATTGCCTTACCATTCTTCATCCTATTTAAGTCCTTTGATGACTTGTCCCTTGCTTTAGCAATGTTGTAGAACATTTGGATCCCCTTGATTATTTCCAACTCTTCATACAGCTGTGCAGACGATCTTTCCCTAGCATTAGCTACAACGCTCGTTGCTTCCCTCTTTACGTTGCACATATCGTTATCTTCCTCCCTTTTAGACCTGTCACACCTCTTTCTAGCCTCTTTTTTCTCTTAAACTTTCTGTTGCACTTAATCGTTCCACCACGTTTCTTTGTGCCTAGGAGGCCCTATACCAGATGTTTTTCCTAGCACTTCCTTTCCCACCCCCAACTCTTTGCTGTTGGCTTGCCACCAGTTATTTACCATATCTTATTCTTCAAGCTCTTTTAACACTCTATTTTTAAAGACTCGCCAAATCCTTATCATTTAACTTTCACCACTTCACTGTCTGCTTTCCTTTCCGGAAAGCTACAGCTACAGCTAATAGTTGCATATTCACCTGTACCTGTACAAAAGCATGTGAATTAACATGCCGGTGTTAATTCGCATGCTTTGAGTTCGTATGAGAGCTGGATGACAAAATAAAAACGGCATATTCAACTGCTGAAAAGACAAAACCAAGTTTTTTAAATTTTACATTGCGCTTTGGATATTAGGATTTCGATCATAAATAAATTTGTATTTTCAGATTTACTATAAGCATTCGTGATGTACTAACATGGGTCAACTTTATCAACACTTGTTCTGATAAGATGGAACTAGCTGAAGCATATGTTCACGGTGCTTATTTGACGTTTCTGGATAGTTTAGGATCAGGAATCACCAGCACAGAAAGGTAAGTGTTGAAATTGTAACTATATATGTAACTTACGACACGAAACTGTATTTAAAATTTGGATGAGAGTGATGACATCTTAAGCGCTCCGGTAGTAGATTATTTTTTCTAGAAAATGTATCTAAACTAGTTTATTCAAATTAACAAAATATTTTACGAAATGTCTTAAGATAATTTGAAGTATCAGCTAATTTAAGTTTTATTCTAAAACGAAGACTCTTTTAATAGGATAAGGTAGGTAGAAATCCTTCCTAATCATTCAATTTTTTGGGAGGATCTGTGTGAATTTGATATAACCGTATTGATCATCGAATCACTCCAGTGTTCAAAATATTGTTTCAGTAGACTTGTTCAATCATGTTCATCATTGTTCATAATGCACAATTATACAGAAAAGGTAAGAAACCTGGGCTTTGGCTTGCTAGTTCCGAATGATTTCACATAAATCGAGTCTTCTGTTAAAATCATCGTTATTTCTAACGAACTTTTATTAAAATTTTCAGATTAAGATATAAGTCATAAAGTCAAATGTTTACTTTTTTATATCAGGGAAGCTTCATCGTCAATTATATCATTTGTACCGAAAATATATACATATATCACATATCACCTACTAACATCATATCACTTACCTCTCCTTTTAAGAATAGATCTAACCAACCCTCCCACCCCTACCTTTGCCATATATAGGCGATATTATATTAGAGCCAATTAGAACCTTTTCCCATCAAATTTTTTCAAAGTAGAACACATTTCAACTACCGAATAAGTAGACTAAAATATAATCCAAATATACGTCCCCACTTCTGTTGGCATCTTGATCTTAAAAATGGTTTTTTTCTGATACTTCCAGACCGAATTATGTGGCTTATTCGACAGAAACGTCATTTTCTCAGAGAGTACCAAATTCTCGAACCAATTGTGAGCTCTAATCAAACAGTTCCTAAATACCACTCACATATCGGAAAACAAAATATCGGAAAACAAATCTTAATTTCCATAAATACCGAAAAGGTGTTTAAAAGGTCCTTCAAGACACACTACGATCACCCAACCACCCGAGTTTCTACATAAATTTTAAAAAGAAAACCGAAATTCAAGTCATAAATATATTCAACAATTATATTCGTCGACTGAACTCATCCAATCGTATAAGGATCCTATTGGAGTCCTATCCCCAATCACTGCTCCTGCCAACGAACACACTACTCGGGAACAGAGCTCCTGGTTCCAACAGCATTCATTACAGTTGCTATAAAAAAACTTCCACGCAGTATATGTCAATGCGACTCTTAAACTTTCCCATTTTCCTATTTTCTGGATAACAGCAAACATAATTATGATTTATAAAGAGGAGAAATTCCAGACCTACTCTGAATCTTACAGGTCAATTTCATTCCTTATCACTTTAAGCAATGTCAACGACAAAATTCGGAAGGAGAGACTTCCAAGAGATCGACAATATCATCCCAAAGTATCAATTTGGATTCAGACCAGGTCACTACTCAAAATGCATTAACAGAAGGCGTCAAAAACATAACACAATGCATTAACATCCTTCAAAATTTTGCAATAGTCACATTTTTTGACACCCAAAAGGCCTTTAGTCAGATTAAAACGCTATATCAAATTGGACTTCCACTTCCCTTTATCAAGCTAATGCACTCCTACCTTAATGATAGAACAATTCATATTAAATTTGTCTCAAATTTTCCACTTGTTTCATGTTTGCAGATGACTTTAAGATGTTTAGAGTTGTAGAAGATCAATGTGATTGCCAACTATTACAACTAGATTTGAATACAGTATCTAATTGGTTTCAAATAAATAGAATGGATCTAAATATTGACAAGTGTTGAGTTATGACCTTCACACGTAACAGGAACTTTATTAAAATGGTTTATTGTATCAATAATAGAGAATTGCCCAGAAAATTTGTGTGTAAAGATCTTGGTGTGAATTTTCAGCAAAGCTTGCACTTTAATGATCACTATCACATTGTTACTAATAAGGCTTTTAGGATGTTAGGATTTATAATTAGAAACACAAAACATTTTAAGATGATAGATAGCATAATTAAACTATATAATTCCTTGGTAAGACCACATCTTGAGTATGCTTCTGTAGTTTGGGCACCCCGTGCAGAAGTAAATATAGATTTAATTGAAAAGGTACAAAAAAGGTTTTTAAGATATCTGTATGTTAGAAAATATAATTCGTATCCATACTTGGTGTCTTACCGGAGTATGCTTGAAACTTTTAAACTTGTAACATTGGAACAGAGACGAAAAATGCAAGCAATGCTATTTGTATATTATATTGTGAATAATTTAAAATATAAAGGCTTATTCTTGATTAACTATATAAAATTCTTGGTACCTAAGATTAACTTAAGGTTAAGTCATAGAGGGCTGTTTTTTTCTATTTGTGAGACAGACTGCTCGCCCATTAACAACATGATGAGGCAGTGCAATATGATACTAAAAAAAAATAGCGACATAGATATCTTCAACACCAACATCAAAGCAATTAAATCTAGCTTTTTATCCGCTTTAATCATTTTATCTTAGCATGTAGGTATATCTAATGTCAAAATCCCTACTTGTAATTACATTTTATTCTGTAAAATGTGTTTGTTGTGGAATAAATAAATAAATAAAAATAAAAAATTTCAAAATTCCAAAGCGCCTCATTCATCCTAGAAGCAGGAGTCCTCAAGGTTCCATCTTAGCTCATATTCTCTATACAGTCCGCACAAACGACTTTCCTCGTCCTCATCACCCAGCTTTTAGAAAATTTGAATATGCATTTGTTACTGCACTCCTGATCGCGAGCAGAGATTCTGTGGTATTTAATCATGCACAACGATAAATTAATTTTGTCGATAGACTTGTTCAAATTGTAGTTTCATTAAATCCCAATAAATCTGAGATCCTAATATTTAGAGGCCCTCTCTAAATGATCTCAAAGTATCTACGTCTAACACTCTAGGCAGAAAGACTTGATTTTCAATCATCAGTGACTTATTTGGCAGTCCAATTAACCAAGACTCAACTGCGACACTCAGACTCCTAATACCCTAGGTAGGCGTAGAACACTTAAGCGATAAGTTTGGAGCCTCAGTAAAGAAATTGTTTTGCAAACCTACAACACTTTTATAAAACTCATTAGTGAATAGCACGGCAAAATTCTCTGTAGAATTTTTTTTATACGATTATAAGGCTCTCATTCGACACCTCATTTGTCATTCTATCTAATAAGGTAGGAGTTGGGTTTATGGACAGACAGACATGGATAATTCAAGGTTTTCACATTTTAATCTTGTAAAATGGGTGAAAACAATATCAGGATGTATTAGAGACATATTTTGGAGAAATAAAGATATGAGCATCGGGAGTAAAGTGTTCTATGAAACATTGTAAGACCGACTATGATCTACGCAATAGAGCCCAGAGCGGAAAACACAACAATGAAGAGAATGCTAAGAACAACGGAGATGTGAACATTAAGAGTAGGAGAAATATGTGATGAATGACGTATATGTCCGACGATCGGTTAGCCAAAATTGCCAAAGAAAAACGCTCAAACACACCTCGGCGGCCTGGGTGATTGCCTACGAGATAATGCGAAAGTTGTTCTTCTTCGTCTAACTGCTATTTCTGAACCATCGAAGAAAACACAGGACTTAGTTTTAACGCGAGAAGAAGAAGAATCCAAAATGGATCTACCATTTTCACTTGTATACCGTAAATAAAGCGTTTCGGCCGATGGATGAGGGGTACGGTAACATAAGAGCTCACGGCTTGATGTTCGTTCATTAATTATTGATCCCTACTAGATGCCGTAAACATACTAGAAAATCAAAAAACCGAAATTATTTCTGTTATCTAACTTTTCAAGTCAAAACTAATTTGTCTTTTTTGTGTGAAACAGATGATGTAGTCTTAAGATGTCATCAACTTTTATAAAATAGTATTTTAATTTTGTTTTTTTTAATTCCCAACTTAATATATTTCAGTTTAAAATCTTTGGAGCACTTCAAATCAAAATGCCTACAATTTTTGTCGAATCAAGCAATTCAAACAACTTCCCAAACTACATACGTGAATTTAAGTAACTTGCAAGTTGAAAATATCGCAGGTAAATTCGGTATAAAACCGTTTTACATCGAAACTAATCCAGAAGTAGCAACTACAACCGAATTTACATTTAACGCTCCAACAACTTTATATAATTCACTTCGACTTTTACGGGGAATGCAATTGAATAAGGCGATTTTACTTGAAGGTAGTCCTGGAGTAGGTAAAACCAGTTTGGTTACGGCTTTGGCTAAGTTTACCGGACATAAATTATTTAGGATCAATCTCTCCGATCAAACGGTAAGTTTCTAAGATGTTCTTTTTTAAATTTATAGTAATACTTAAATCATGATGCTAATAATAAAAGTATCAAAAACATTATAAATATAGCATATCTTGGGAATACAAAACCTAAATATAAATAAATCCTTCCATGATAACTAAAATATCTCGTAAGTTGTTCAGAAAGAGTACCAGCGTTGTGTTTTTGTATTAATGTTGTCAGATTGAAACGATGATTCAATAATTCATACTCATCGTTTCTGTCATTAGGAATATCGTTCTCGGCGAAGGTGTGGTTTTCTAAGTGGCTCCGTCAGCCTAAATCGAATGCAGCAAATTTCGGTTGAGATTCAGTACGAATAATTACATGATGGCAGTTTCTTAACCCTTTCGCTGCGAACGGCGCACAAGTGCGGCGTAGCGAAGTTGAGCCATATGCGGACGACGCACATGTGCTGCGTGGGTACACTTAAATTATAATCATATTTTTTTAAAGTATCATAGCATATAAGTTTATTGAATTTTGTCAGCATATTGCTAGATATTCACCCTATTATAAGGCAACTTTCGTTTCTAGTTATGATTTTTATTTTACACTCTAGCTAGATGGCGTCTCGTTTTAGGAATGTAAGAATTGAGTATTTAATGTTTTTTGTCATTATAACCTTATTTTTGTCGATAGAAAAACGTGTTATATACTCTGGTGTGTAAACATTATATTGAAATGGCAGATTTAAGTAAACCTGGACCTTCTAGTACAAAAAACGTAAGATTATACAAGTGAGAAATCCTAATAAGTTAACAGTGGAAAATATTACGTTGGAATAAAAAAAGAAGTTTGCATATCATTCAGTTATTACTTAATAATTCTAACCATCGTATATAATAAATTTTATGGCGAAAAGAAAACACTGAGCAAGTTTAGACACGAGTTCTTAAAAAAGTTGTTATCAGAAGTTCCATCTCCAGAAAAATGCAGAATACAAAATGTTGAACACGCACCTTCAAAAATTGATGTCACCAATGAACGCGGCAAAACTTTAAGAAAAAGATGCCGAATGTGTTCTACCAAAGGAAAACCAGGACTTTGCCTAGGAGTATGTTTTCAGGAACACCATAAAAAATAATAGACTCCATATTTTGTGAAATATATTTTTGTTTTTTTTTGTTGCAAACTAACATTAAACTTTCCCTAAAAAAATGGTTTTCAATCATTTCGTGAAGGCCCATATGTGCGGTTTCCGCATATTTCAATGAAATCATTCACATATGCGGATGCCGCGCATGTGCGCCTAGAAAAAAAATTATGAAAACTTACAAATATGGTTTTATAAAGTCTTAATAACAACAAATTAAACTTGTATATATGAATATTTTCATTTTTAACAGAAAAAAGTGAGCCGCACACACGGTACCTACTAGTAATTTTTGCCGCAGCGAAAGGGTTGCACTGTTGCAGTTCAGTAATACTCAGAGCATTGAAAAATGAAATTATAGTTATAAGATTTGGAGCTTTTAGATCACCTACACAAATTATCAATTTGTGTAGCATTTAAAAAAAATACAGAAAAAGGATTAAACATAGGTAAATCTGCATATCAACCGACCTTGCAAAAGGATTTTTTATACACCTTGCACCATACATAGTGAACTAATTTACTAAGAAGTAAACATAGAACACTGATACACTATATGTTATGGTAGATAATGGGGGTGGGGGTCGTTAATAAAGATGAAAAACACAAGAAATATTGAGAAAAACAACAAAAAGAACAGGAAAGAGAATAACTGTTAATAAAGGTTCACCGTTTTTAAGTGTCATCTCCGCGACGAAGGTTGGTAATCATCATGGCTATTCTGACTTTCGAGGCAGCTGCTCTGAACAATTGCCTTGAGCTGCAACCAAATCACTCTCTGAGGTTCAAGTCAAATCAAGTCAAATTTATTGATCACATGCTACATTATACAAAGTACATGTATGAGACAAGTCAAAGTACATGTATGAGTCTCAAGATGTTGTATCTTTCGCATCTCATCACATGTCCGAGATATTGCAATTTCCTTTCTTTTATTGTATTTTCCATTTCTCTCTCTCTCTATCTCTCTCTGCCTATCCTCCTTAACACTTCTGTATTCATGACTCTATCTACCCATGGAATCCTTAACAATCTTCTAAATCTCCACATTTCAAACGCGTTAAGTCGATTTATTGTATTCCGGTTTAATATCCATGATTCAGCTCCATAGTAGAGTACACTGTATACATAGCATCTAATTAGCCATATTCTGAGGGTTAATGTCAGATCTTTGCTACATAAAATCTTTTTCATTTTCACGAAGTTGGCACGCGCTCTTTCAATTCTGACTCTTATTTCTGCAGTACATTCGTTATTTTCTGTGATTATCGTTCCCAAGTAAGTATATCTTTCTACTCTCTCAATCTGCTGGTCGCCTACCGTTAATATTTCGTTTGTATTGTTGTTCTTGCTAATTTTCATGAATTTGTTTTTTTTTTTTTGATGTTAAGTGAGTATTCTCAACTATATCTTAATATTTTGTTCACTATTCTTTCCAATTCTTCCAAGTTGTTGGCTATTATGACTGTATTGTCGGCATACCTAATGTTGTTAATGGTAATGTTAGTGTTTGTTAATTAACCTTCCGTTCACTTTTATGCCGACTGTCTTGTTTACCAGAGCTTTTTGTATGATTTCTTTATAATAAGCATTAAACAATAACGACAACAGTATGCAACCCTGCCTGACCCCTCTCCTTATATCCACTTTTTCTGACACTTATCTTCCAATTTCACAATTGATCGTTGGCTGTAGTATAAATTTAATATTAATGTTACATCCCACTGTTTTTATTAAATATGGAAATCTCTAAAAAATAGAAGTGGCTTGTTCATAACACAAAGAGAAAAGTGAAATATCAAAAAAATAAAAAATAGTAAAATTCACTTTAATCAAAATATATTTCAAATATCAATCAGCCTTAACTAACCAAAGTCTGTTAACACGTTAAACTCTACGAATGCATCTTATAAACTGAACTTACTGATGCCACGAGAAGCACAGTTTCATCTCATACCCTTAGTGTCTTACACAATACCGTGCTTAAAATATGTCACACTTCTTCTGTCCGAACTTTGCATTTCCTCTATATGGTGACCTTCACGAGCATGTGGTATCTGTTGCTCTGAATTAGTCTGGAGAAATCTACCAGTTAACAAACCAACTCTTCCTTGAAAAATGTGATAGACATTTTACTGTTGGTTCCTTTTTGGTAAATTATATAGGCGTTTTAGAGAATTATGCAGGCGTCTCGTTAGAACGAGAATTGCTGCCAATAATAAAAAGAAGAAATAGTTTTTAAAGCTTATTATGGAAGGTAAGATAGAAGGAAAACGGGGCATCGGAAGAAATACTCATGGTTTAAAAACATTTAGAGACACACAAGATCGAGAGGAGTATGTCAGAATTATCGCCAACATCCACTAATTGGATAGGGCACCATAAGAAGAATATAGACGTTGACAATAGCTAGCCCTAAAAGGATCTGAATTGCTATTTTACAATACCATTTCACTGATTTTCATAATGCTGCAGACTATTTCATCGGATATATCTATAATTATATCTTTTGTTCTTATTGTAGTCGACAACAGAAACTGGCTTTTTAACTATTCCTCCCTTATGGACTTCTACCATTTCAGCACTATGCTTTGTGCTCAGCATAAGCACTTCGCGTTTGTCGTTCCACTTAGTTACTACTACACCTGTGTTACTCTCCAAATCAGTAATCTCCCCTTTCTTTAATTGTGCACCTGTCACTTCTTTCTGATTGAGTTTTTTGTTTTACCTCAAAGTGCTCACCAAATTTGTATTTTTGTTTAGCAACTCATGTGTTAATGTAACCCTAGAATACAAATTATCTGTATATATGACACGTCAAACGTGTAATAAGTTATTAGCTAATCGAAAAACAACACTATCCGCAACTGACATATTTTCAGTTTTATCATTACCACAATAAATTTGTAGATCACAAGTATAACTTCCATCCAAACAGAGTTTTTATATCTTTACCTTGAACTTATATCTTTTGCTTTTAATATACTGCCTAAATGACAGTCGGCTCATAAACGGAACTGCAGTTTCATCGCTGCAGACGATTCGATTCTTCCTCGGCACTACCACTATTTGAAAATTTGATATAATCGTTTTCATCGTTCTTGGCGTGTGCGTGTAAAAACACTTGCAATAAGTTGTTTCATCTGTCTTTCCTTGTCTAAGCTCGATTCGTTTACCTCCTCCAGTGGCAGAGCAAAATGTAGCATGCCAAACGAAATAATAGTTATAAAAGAAAATTATAAATTATTTTTCATTAAATTTCTAATAACGGAATATACGTATAAATTGCGAAGAAGTATTTTTCTAGCTTGCAGTACAATAGGACAGGATATAACGAAAAGTACATTTTAAAAGGATTTTGAAATATTCCCAAAAAAGTGTTAATTTTATTTAACCCACTTTAATTAAAAAATGATACAGTTTTTTTAAGTTTTAAGCACTGTAGCGAATTCTGAACTGTTACAACGTACTGACCTTGATTAATTAGCTAATCAGTCAGCGCCTTCACTGGAACTGTCTTCATTATTGGAATCTTCCGCTAAATCGATGATAATCCTACTTTCATTTTCATCATATGTGACCATTTTTGCCCAGTCGTTCTGAATTAATTTTTCAGTATGGTTAACACAACTCGCCCACACTGCAGGTGTTGCCTCAGCTAATGCATCGCCCCAAACTTTTTTCACTGTTTCATCTCCACGTCCATGGTCTCCAATATGACGATCATAGTATTGTTTAGAAATGCCCCAGACCAACTCAATCGGATTATATTGACAGTGATATGGGGGCAATCTCAAAACCTGATGCCCATGTTCTTGGAGTAGCTCGTCTATAACGTACCTGGTATTTTGTGGTTTATTCTGGCGACAAAGACTCAATAGCTCTGTCTTGCCCGAATCGTCGTCAAAAATAATTTTTTTCGCTCGTAACCATTCTTGTAAGTCCGATTTTTTCCAACTGGCATTCGCTAACTTTTCTATTAAAGAGCTATGGTATGAGGCATTATCCATAATAATTAGAGATGGTTCCTCTAACATTGGTATCAGCGGAGACCCACTTTTTAAAAGACTCTTTATCCATAGAATCATGATAGTCTGCACTCTTCGATTTCATAGAAAACAGTAATCCAGCATCTTTAACAAATCCTTGCCTACTTCCGGCATGTAAAACAACAAAGCGTTTACCTGTATTTTCGTGTCCTTTTCTGATGCTTTTCACACAGTCATTTTGCCAAGTTTATCCCGTTTATATACCCCTTTTAGGAATATCCATGTTTCATCTAAAAAAACGAACTGAAGTGGGCTTGTACTTAAAAAATTTCTCATATAATGCCTAAAAAATAACAGTCTTTTGGAGACAATACATGGTTTCTCACATAGCACTCGTCTACTATTTTCTAGTTTGTATGAAAACCCACAATTTTTCATAAGACGCCACAAACTTGTATCAGAACCGTCATAGAGATACTTGTTTCTTAATTGTGTATTTAGAACTTTAATTGTAACGTACTCTCCTTTTGCTTTCATGCCATATAGTACATTTCTAATCTCTCCTTTTATAGTATCGCTGACATCATTAGTTTTTTTTTTGTACATTACGTGACTCTCCTGGTGTAGTAAGAGCTGCCCCTGTCTTGTATTCACTCTTTATTCTTGTCACTGTGCGAAGACTGATTTTCAAAGCGTCCGTTACTCGTTCATGTACCGATGATAACGAAAGCAAATGTCCGTTGTTTTCTTTTTCTTTTTTAAAATACTCCAATAAATGAACTACACATAGTCGCATTTCTCCTGTAATCGTTTTTTCCGGCATTTTTTATTAAATAAAACAATTAGTTATTCACAACAAAAAAAAAAATAAGTAAAACTGTTCGGAACAAATTCCAACAATGACTGACTAAAATCGACTAAAACAACATAAAATATCAATGGCAATTGCTACAATTATAAACCTATTAGCCAGCTCATTCAAGAACAATGCCATAAGTCATTATTGCAATGGGTATCGGAAGGGAGAGAGTTAATTTATAATAAACTGGAATTTTTAAGGTGTCGAGAGTATTATTTTATGTAATGGAATTCCATACAGTAAGAGCTCAAATTATTAATTAATTAAAAACTGTTTACTTACTATAAAAACTATTTCATCAGCTACTTCAAACCTGCACAGATCAGGGTAACATTTAAAAAAAAACACGTCACTGCCAGCTATCTGTATTCGTAAAGACGCCGAACTTATCACCGACACCGTATCGGCCAAACGCATCGGTGTTATTGCTACAATACTGGGAGACGTGAGTGGACTCTTCATTCCCTTCTCATCGCACTTTAATATGACGAACGTGGCTCGCACAATTGAATTACGCATCTGTGTATCAGAGAGACGAATATTAAAAATTCCGTAGTAGCTTATTTCAGGCACACGCCAAGAACGATGAAAACGAGTATACCAGCTTCTCCAATAGGGGTGATAGTTTATGCAGTCGAAGTTCTTTGCCTTGACTTTCATTGTCACTTTATCCACGATATCCTTTTTGCATATATTTAACCTATATTTTATTATTTTATTATAATATTTAACATATATTTAACCACTATACTTCCTTTAAGAGTGTAGGCGCAAAATTTCGGGACAATGCTTTTTAAATGCATTCATTTTTTTCGAATTCTGAGAAAATTATTTTTAAAAATTTTAACGTAGAATGTATTACATTATTATCGAGTGCCGAAAGTCCCTGAAAACTTCTATAATGTTTATTTTAATAAGTTACAGGGGCGAAAAAGAAGAGAAAATTAAGTGTAATTTTTAATTTAAAATATCTCATTCAAAAGAAACTTTTTGTTTATTCTAAGCGACTTTCGGACCTAGGTAATAATGTGATTTTTCATTCACTCTTAAAACTTTGATGATTGTTATAAAATTACACTCACAATCGACCTTAGTAACACACAAATTGTGTTTTCTTTCATTTCAACCAATTTGTCTATAAAGAATGTTTTTTCCAGGACATATCAGACCTCTTCGGTGCTGACTTACCGGTAGAAGGAGGAACCGGCGGACAATTTTCTTGGAAAGACGGGCCTTTACTTCAAGCTCTTAAGGACGGCAGTTGGATATTACTAGATGAGCTCAACTTAGCGTCCCAGTCAGTACTGGAGGGACTCAATGCCTGTTTGGACCACAGAGGTGAGATATTTATACCAGAATTAGGCAAAACCTTTTATGTTAAACCCGGAACTAGATTCTTCGGTTGTCAGAATCCTCTTAAGCAAGGTGGTTCTCGAAGAGGTTTACCACAGTCATTCTTGAACAGGTTTATACAGGTATATGTGAACTCATTGACTGATAAGGACTTACATTTCATATTAAAAAATCAATTTAACAATATTTCTGCTGATTTATTGTTAAATATGGTGGAGTTCAATAGTAGGATGGTTGAACAACTGGAAAGTCACACTTTTGGACACAAAGGGGCTCCTTGGGAGTGTAATCTGCGAGATTTAACTCGCTGGTGCGAAGCTATTATCTATCAGCACAATATTAGTGACATTTATCATCCTCAAAACGTAGTGAGTCTGATTTACAGTGATCGTATGCGTACTCTAGCGGACAAAAATAAAGTGCAGGAAATATTTAGTCAAGTGTTCGGTTGTGAGGTCGGCGGGACTGGACCTGTCGCGTACGTTACTAATGACAGAGTGTATTTCGGCGACGTTTTTATCGAACGGAATCAGGTCCACGTGGATTCGAACGTGTTGAAACAGGACAAGACTTGTTTAGTGTTGAGATCGCAGTTAGACGTGTTGAGAAGTTTGGCGTACTGTGTAAATCTGAACTGGATGGCCATATTGGTAAGTATATCAGTTAATTTTTTGCATATAAGGCTATATTTAAGACCAAGTAATTTTTTCAATGTTGAAACTATCTTCAAGATTTATTTTCTGCCTGTGTCTATCTCTTACCGAATATTGGTAATAATTCTAGCAGTAATAATTTTATTTGTTGTTGCTCGTGAGTAATCTTCGGAAGATTTTGCAAAAAGGTTCTTAATTTCTTCAGCCAGAATATTCGTCTTCTGTTGACGTCTCTTATCATAAACTTTACTGTACCATCTCTTCTTTCTTCTTTTGGTGTTCAAGCACCAGCAACCGACACTTCTCTCCAAAATTGTAGCCAACGTCGTTCAGAGGTAGTTTCGATCGGAGGCGTGGTACTCGTGAAGTTCATGCGCGATTTCAACCTTGATATTCCGATCAACCAGTTCCGATCAACGGATATAAGTCATGGACTGGAGTAGATTTCAAGCAATCGGATATTATTCGGGTCGTCTGGTTTATAGCTTGACCAACATGACGAATGTGAGCGGAGGACGAATGAGGAGCGATTTTGTGAAATTAAGCTCGTTAAAAAGTTTCACAGCCCGATCTATAGCTTAGAGCTCAGCTGAATATGTGTTATATACTGAGGGTAGACGAAAAAGAAGATTGTTTTAAGAGGAAACGATTGATGCCCCCACTCTATTTTCGGAGTTAGAAGCATCTATGTATATTATATATTATTGAGGTTGGACTACTTTTCTAAGAGGGTTTCGAAATGAAACCGAATCAGAGAAGTGTTGGTACTGGACTTGGCTCTGGCCATCGAAATGGGCCAGAGATGGCCCATTTAGAGATGGATACATCTTTATCTTATCTAGAGATGTATTACATATTGGTAAATCGATCAGCCAAGGCGCAGGGTATTTAATATCCGAGGAGAAAACATCTGGAAAAGTAGTGTTTAGATTTTGAAGTATGAATTTAATTCTTTCGCACTATGTTTTTTTAGTAAAGCGAATATTTTGGAATTTATTTACATATTTGTTTCTAAAAGGGTTTTGATATATTGGTTTTAAAATATTACAAGAGACTGAGGCTGCATGTGATACGGCGAGGAATATGCGGCGGAGATGTAGTGATGGTTCTCCTAGAAGGGCATAAATACTGGGTACAGGGAAAGTTAGAAAAGCCCCTGTGATGAATCTCAGACTTTTATTATTAATAATATCTAATTATTTAAGAAGAGATTGATTAGTAGTGGAATAGACAATTGCCCCATAATCTAGCTTAGAACGTATTAAAGATTTATACAAAAGAAGTAGAGTGGATTGGTCTTAGCCCCAGTTTTTGTTACACGAGAGATCTAATACATTTTATCTTTTACTACAGGAAAGGATGAGATGTGATCTTTCCAAGTTAGCTTAGAATTAAAGATTAAACCCAAGAATTTGTGATGTTTTCTAAACTCCAACTGTTTCTCATACATTCTCAGGGTTAGCGGTTGAGGCAAGGAGCTTTAAGTGAATACAACTCCTATTGATTTTTCTATTGAAAATTGAAAACCTGTAAGGTGGGACCAATTTTCAAGAGTATCTAAAAAGTTTTTTGAAAAATTAAGGACATTAAAGAGATATTTTTGCCTTTAGTAGGACGTCAGCGTATAAACGGGCTTGTAAGGGTGCTTGAATGTTTTTGATTATATCATTTATTGCTACTAGAAATAATGTTGTACTGAGTATGGATCCTTGGAGTGTACTATGTTAAAGTTTTAAATTATTTAACGACGTTAATAGTGTCGGGTAAACCTTATCGATCATTAAGGACAATTGGTGGTAGTTTAAAACGAAAGGGGATGTATGGTTATTAATAAAATTTTCAAGAGTTTTTCGTGTAGATGGATCTTTGGATGAGCGCAGTTATTTTAATTTAGAAGATATGGGTTTGTAAACAGATTTTGCGATGAAATGGATGAATCTGTAGGAGTAGAAGATTAGATAGATAAAAGGTTAGAGATAGAAGGTTAGATAGATTTTTAAGAGTTTTCACTTAGATACTGTGGCTTTAGTATATTTGGAAGTACTGTAGCAGACTCATAAGCACTTAGTGACAAAAGCGATTTTATCTAATAGAAGAGGTGCTGATGGGTTGGAGGATATTCCTTCCGAAGTTTGTGAAAACGGTGTTGTCGCCGAATGAAAGTGTTACTATAACTAGGGGTATTGGTCATTTCTTTGCATTTATAGGTTATAGGTTAAACCATCCTGAGAAATGAAGATTCTATAGGCAGTATTATTGTAATTTACTTTAAACGAATCACGTACAACAAAATTCCATGGACTGACATCGACTTATCTTCTGAAACTTAGAATGTGGGTATATTCCGTTAGGTTTGAACTATTCCTAAGAAAAGAAATCGGCGAAATCATGTTTAAGTCAATATTTTTCAATTAATCGCAAAGTACGTCATAAAGAATAGTTGGAGAGACATTTGAAAGTATAAGTCTCTCAGCTGGTGATATAAGTCGACGTACCACTATAATTTGATCTTGAACCTCGATTATGCCGTAGGAATTCATAAAATCCTCTAACAGTTGCTTACTAGATAGATATATGCAAATTCTATTATTTGATAAATGGGAACAGAAAATAATATTTTTGATCCTATTATGCTTCCTAAGAGGATGAGGTAATCCTAATGACGAGCTCCATCGATTGAGCTGAAAATTATAGCCTTATATTTTTTTGGAAATTGCTGCTGGGCTAAAGCTATGCAATATGAGTTCACGGTGGTAGAATGGTTTTCGATAGGGGTGGGAATCGACTTATTATTTTACTTCACAGTTATCTTAAAGAGTAGGCCCGAAATTCTCGGTGATGTCCTGTCCAGTTGCTGATAACAACGGCATGCACACCTAAATACACCTCGTATCGATACAAAATTTTAAGGTTATCTACATTTTAAATCGAAACCAATTTGATTTGCGACTTCATAAACATATGAAGATGACTTACAGTGAATCAGCTAAATTTTTGCATTACAACTTAACTAAACACTATTCTTAAACCCCATCTTAAATTGCAAATTTTGTAGGACTGAAGAAAAACACTGTTTCCTATTGTACCACCAGGAATGGCTTCAGTCCTAATAATTGATAGACGTACACGTGAAGAAATTGAAATATCCGATAACCAGTTTGGTTTTATGCAAGGGAGATTTAGAACAGATATAGATTTATTACTTTGTCCATCTTCTTCTTCTTCACGTGCCATCTCCGCTACGAAGGTTGCATAATTAGTTGTAACAGTTGATATTTATTCCCACGTGTAATATGTCCCAGGTATTGTAGTTTCCTCATTTTAACACTCAATACGACCTCCTTTTGTTTGTTCATCCTGTCTAATACAACTTGGTTAGTTATCTTATCCTTCCAGGAGATTTTTAACATTCTTCGGTACGCCCACATCTCAAATGCCTCCAGCTTACCCATACGTTGCTTATTTAGTGTCCACGCCTCCACCCCATATAACAGGACCGAGAAAACATAACATTTAAGCAACATTTGTTCCGAGGTAATTGTAATTTTGTACTCGTTCAATGAGATTCTGTCCTACATGTAAGTTGATATTATTGATACGTTTCTTTGTAATGATCTAGAATTTGGTCTTCTTTGTATTCAGTGACAGACCAAATTCTTCACTTGCTTCTACCACTTTGTTTAGTAATCTCTGTAGGTCGTCAATATTTTCTGCTATGAGCGCGGTATCATCAGCATATCGGATATTGCAAATGGGGTGACCGTTGATCTTTACTCCAGCTTTTTCGTTCATAAGAGCTTTTTTAATAACTTCTTCCGCGTAGACATTGAACAAGGTTGGAGACAACACACAGCCCTGCCGAACACCTCTTTTGATCTGTATTCTATCTGATATCGAGCTGTTAATTCGTACTGTAGCTTCTTGTTTGTAGTATAGATTCCTTATCACTCGCATGTCCCTTGTATTAATATTTTTATTTTCCAGTATTTGCATCAGTGGCCTATGTTTTACTGTATCAAATGCTTTGTTATAGTCTAGGAAACACACAAATATGTCCTGATTTACGTCTAAGCATCGTTGTGTTAAAACATTAAAAGCAAGTGCAGTGCAAAAGCAGTGCCTCTCTAGTTCCTAGTCCGTCTCTAAAGCCAAATTGAGAGGGTCCGATGTCAACTTCCAATTTTTTATATATTCTCCGATGAATGATTTTTAAGAAGACCTTTAATATATGACACATGAGACTGATGGTGCGATGTTCCGAGCATTGTCTCGCATTAGACTTTTTGGGTATGGCTATTATTGTTGTTACTAGCCATGATACCAGATTTGTAAATGCTGTTAAATAGTTCCACGATCTTTATTAAGTTGTTGCCTTTGATGAGTTTAATTATGTCTATTGGTAGTTCATCTGGGCCTGTAGCCTTCCCCGACCTCATTTCTTTAATCGTGTATTCCACTTCATCTCTTGTTATTTCTGGTTCTGTGTCACTGTTTATGTATTCGTTATCTACATTGTCTCTTTGATCTTTAAACAGTTGTTCTATGTACTGTTTCAAGACTCTTAATTTTTCTTCTGTGTCCATAATAATGTTTCCACTCTCGTCTACTAATATGTTGTGTCTGTTACTTTGTCTCCTCGTCAACTCTTTGATCTTCCGATGTGCATTAAAGCTGTCGTGTTTATTTTGTAGTTGTTCGATTTCTTCGCATTTTTCCCCGTACCAGTTTTCTTTAGCTGTGCGTATTTTTAGACGAATTTCTTTTTGTATCTCTTTATACTTCTGGTTCTTTTTGTTTTTCTGTTTTCTTCTTTCATCCATTAAGTTCAGTATCTCATCTGTCATCCATTCTTTTTTATATTCTTTACTTTTATGGAGGTGACTTATGCTTGGTTTCATTAACGCTGTTTTAATGTCTGCCCAATTCTCATTGATGTTAACTTTTGTGTTGTCTTTTATGGGTTGTATCTTTGTTACTGCTTCATCAATTTCTTGTATCATCTGTTCTCTTACTTCTGGTTTTCGTAATTTGTTGATATCAACTGCTTTTTTGGGGGTTGTGCTATTAATTTTCTTTAGTTTTATTTTCATTCTTGCAACTAGTGGATTGTGATTAGATGATATATCTGCACCAGGGTATGTCTTCATTGACATTATGCTGTTTCTGTATCTTTCATTTGTCCATCACTGATACTTTAATTATGTCTTCAAGTCTACAAAATTCCATTAGTCGAATTTCTAATGCTATCACTTTCTTTACTGTGGCCTCTGACAAGGCGGCATTACTCGATATAACAAGGTAGAGAATATATGGTGTCTTGTTGCAAGTACTACGACAAATTGTTACGTCTTGCTGCGGTGGTTGTTGTTGAATTATCTCACTACTGACGGGCTGTAACTTAAAAAACAAAAAAATAACGAACAAAGTAGCAACGAAATGAATTGAATATTATAAAATTTGTTAAAAGTCAGAGACTGTCATGGCTGGGATATGACCAGAGATGGTTGGATGATGTTGGATGATCTGAAAACTATGAGTATAAGACAATGGAGGAAAGGGACACAAGAAAGGTATGAATGAAGTGGAAAGGCAAAGACCCATTTAAGGTTATGATATCCAAAGAAGATGAGGATATGAAATTACTTGATGACGAACTTTCAGTAAATTTCCTGTTTTTCCAGGTTATTGGAGTGCAATTGGATTGCAAGTAAAGGGTTACTCGCTATTTATAATTCAGTATGTGTTCTGTATGTATTTATAATTCAGTAGAATAGTAAGTAGGGAGAGTACGGAACGTGTTGATATTTATGTTCTGGAGGTCCACCGTCACAGCTATCCGAATGACACCCACCCATAAGTCGTGAGATATCCGGAGGGTCTCTCAAGGGAGGTATCTCATTCCTTATTGTTTTGGCCATAAGTGAAGAAAAATTTGTAGTCTTGATTGTGGAGGATGATACAATCCATCGAGAAGATATTGATAGATGAGAACCAAATCCAGTAACAAACAAGAAGAAAACACCCATCTGCGAAGAAGTGGACTTCCACTGAAAAGGTGGAAGAATAAGTTTAAAAGAAAAAAGATTGAGGTTTCTTACACTTACACTGGTTGTTCCTAGTAGTAAATACTGCAACTTTTGGAGTTTTGGAGGACGGAATGATCCCTAGCGAGAGAATGCATCTTCCTCTCCGTCAATATTTTCTCCTTCGTAAGGATGTGGTGGCGTCAGGTAATTTGTTTAACTATTTTTGTCCAATTATCTCTGTCCTGTGCGTGTTGTTTTGCTTTGGAGAATGAGTAACCAGTTATCTCTGTTATTTAGTCCGACCATCATACTGGAAATCTTCCTCTGGGTCTTTTACTCGCAACGTTACCTTCAACTATCATACGCTCAATGCCTTCTCTGCTTCTAGTTATATGTCCAAAATATCTCAGTATATTTTGGTTGACAGTTGTGATGAATGCATGGCCATTAGGAAATATATAAGTACCTCGTTGTATCATTTTCTTATTGATTTTGTTTTTAAATCGCCCAAATTTCTTACCACTTTTAACTAACTTGTTTATTAAAAGCTATGATCATTGTTTAGTGTTGGTGTGTTAAAGGTATCTCTAAAATTGTTTATTCGTTTCTCATTTCGTCACTCGCACATATTCTGAGTTTCTTGGAAATATACCTCTCAGTACATGTTAAATATGAGAGGTGACACTATACATTTCTGCCGAATTTTCTATTTTCTCCTAGTTTTACGTTATCAAATGACTTTTAATAACTAATGACGTATGAACATACACTACAATTTATATGTCTGCCACGATGAAATAACACTTGAACATGAAGTACGACATCTCTTGATCCAATACTTTCATAAAATTTAATGTTCTTAGCAGGTTTCGTATAATCTCCGATGTACTTAAAAATCGTTTTATCAAGTGACTCATGAGGATTATTTTTGTATACTTTTTGGCTCTCTTATTTTTAGGTAGATTTTTGAATGTATTATCCACTAATTTATGCCGCATTCATTGAAGTGCTTGATAATCTCTTAGTCTATTTCATTATTTGACAGATGCTGTAAACGCATTAACATCATTTAAAAGGATATCCTGGTCCATTGTAATATTCGATATTTTTTGTTCGTTCTGCTTTAAGGCCGAGAACAATTTTTCTCGCAACTTTTTAATCTTAATTTGTTAATTTTACGTATTTGATATGTAAAATTGGATTGATTTATGTTGGATTGACCGAAAGTTTTCCAGTGATGGCGTTTCACTGAATCCCTACCTGTTTAATCTTCTTATGAATGTACTGACAGCAAAAGATAAGGGAATGGCTCCTTGGTCAATGCTCTTTGCGGATAATGTGTTTGTTTGTGGAGGAGAGCAAAGAAATGTTGGATGATACGTTGAGGGTTTGGAGAAGCGCTTTTGAAGAGAGAGGACTTAAAGAGGGAAGTTAACAGGTCGAAAACGGAGTATTTGTAGTTGGGTGGAACAGGAATCTTAGGGGACATCGAATTGCTTAGGGAAAAAAGGACGAGTAGGAGAATTTAAATATCTTGTCTTCTATGAAAATGGGAGACGAGAAATTGCCCACAGGATACATCTTCTTCTTCACGTGCCATCTCCGCTACGAAGATTGGCTATCATCATGGCAATTTTGACCCTGGAGGCTGCCGCTCGGAACAATTGTATGGAAGTGCAAGCAAACCACTCCCTGAGGTTTCTCAACCATGACATTGTTCTCCTACCTATGCTGCGCCTACCTTCAATCTTTCCTTGCATAATTAGTTGTAACAGTTGATATTTATTCCCACGTGTAATATGTCCCAAGTATTGTAGTTTCCTCATTTTAACACTCAATACGACCTCCTTTTGTTTGTTCATCCTGTCTAATACAACTTGGTTAGTTATCTTATCCTTCCAGGAGATTTTTAACATTCTTCGGTACGCCCACATCTCAAATGCCTCCAGCTTACCCATACATTGCTTATTTAGTGTCCACGCCTTCACCCCATATAACAGGACCGAGAAAACATAACAGGATACATGCTGGTTGGTTTAACTGGAAGTGAATAAGCTCTGTGATCGAAAAATCGGGGAAGTTCTGAAAGGAAAGATGTGCGAAAGTGTGGTGAGGCCTGCGTTGGTCTATGGCCATGGAGTGTGGCATGCAAAGTGGGTTAAGAAAAATATCTAAGACTAGAAGGGACAAGATCAGGAACGACGTAATTAGAGAAGGAGCTGGGGTGACTACAGCCACAAAAGTGGTTCAAGAACAAAGACTGCAATTGTTAACTCGCGTCAGACGTAAAATTGAGAACTGTGTGGAACGAATGATAAAGCTGTTAAAAGTTTAGGGAAAGAGGGGTAGTGGAAAACCGAGGAGAAGGTCGATGGACTGTTTAGCAGAGGACTTGAGAGAGGGAGGTTTAAATTAGGTTAGACAGAAATAAGTAGCAAAGAAGAATAAGGAATATCGACCCCTAAAAAGGAAAAGCTGACCAAGAAGCTGAAGATATTTACAATTATTTCTCCTTTGCCGTTTTACATTTTTCGTTCAATTTCAATGTTTCAATTTCTCTGCATTTATCTCCGCGTTCTTGTTCCTTTGCTTCTCTAATATTTTTCATAATTTGGTTTTTGATAATTTGTTCGTATTGTAACACAAAAGACATATCATTAGGGATTAGTACTAAGAATTAAAATTCTCCTTTTTGTATAACTATTGTATTGTGCTCTTTTTCCTTAGGACTACATATTTTATTTTCCATATTTTTTTACAGGTTGGCACTACCGGAAGTGGTAAAAGTAGTGTCGTGAAAACACTTGCAAGTTTAAGTGGAAAAACTTTAAAGACTTTGCCAGTGACTTCAGCAATGGATACAACCGACATCTTGGGAGGATTTGAACAGGTAAGTTGATTTTTTTATTTATTTCTGAAAAACTGAAAAAGTTGAATGCGTTAAATTTTACTTTCATTTATCAAAGGTTCTGCCAACTGTCGAGCTATTCCTTATAAATCCCGTAATTTTTGAACATTTTCCTGCAGTATATCATTTTAATTGAAATACAAATCAAGCTCAACAGAATGCAACTTTTGTGCAGGTCTGTCTATTGTCACTTGTCACTCGTCACCTAATATTGTCGCATGTTACTATTTACCTGTTACTTATCAAATTATGAAGACACAATATATGACAAGATTAGTTTGAATTAAAACACACTCAATTCATTTTACATTTTATTATTTTTAAACTAATTTTCTCTAAACATAGAATCAATGTCATCTTCAAATTATATAATGCATGCAGTGCAATACCTTTCTTATACACTATATGTAACATGGAATTTGAAGTAAATCTTAATTTTTTATGATATTCAAATTTATTTACATCTTTTTTTAGGTATATACATTTTTTTACGACTTATGTTGTATTAGGCACATTTTTAGTTTGCTTATTCGTTAATTACATTTTTTTCGTGAATGTACAGTTAGTTTCTTTGTGTGATATATACAATAGCTACATTATTTCAACATTGTTAACATGTAGGCCATTGCACAATACAAAATAAATATGAAACATAAAACACATAATATACGTAAAACATACAGACTGTTTTAAATAGTGAAGAAGATATTTAACAAAATCAAAATTGAATGACCATTTATATGTATTTCTATTGAATTAAAAAATACATTATAATATTATAAATAGTAAACATACAGTTAAATATTTATTAATTTAAACATATTTATGGAAGATCAAGTTAGGGGTCGTGTAAGTATTACGTAATGAAATTAGGAGGTTGGAAGTCTTGTAAAACGTTACGATGCGTTACAGGGGTGGGATGGGGGTTCGAACAGCGCGTTATGTAACATTGTTGTTTACTTAAATTAAAAAACTATGATAATAAAATCTCCCAAGTTGACAATACTCTTCGTTTATGTTTTATAGGAAATCCCTCGATTGTATTGTACAATATTGTTATTTTGTTTCTTTTGTTTATGTTTTACATCAGGCTGAAAGATCTGAGGAGATGGTTTGACCGCTCATCTACAGAAATCTTTCGTACAGGAGTTTCCAAAGCTACAATTGCCATTTGGATCGTCAACCTGCGAAAGGAAACGGCACAATAATATGTTTTACAGGCAATTCTTCGGCTGTATTGTATGTCGTTTTTATTTTATTTTTGTTGTCAATACACCGAAACACGTTACTGTAGTCAACGTTGTTAAATTAAATTCATACTATATTGTTATCAAAAGTTAAAAAAAAAAACGTGATAATTGACAAATACGATGTTTCTGAGAAATATAGAAACTTATCTGGCATGGTATAGCACTCACATCTCTAAATCATAATCCTTCAAATCCCAAGTTATCTGGTGGTGAAAGTCAGTGAGATAAAGGATCGTGCAAGTTTTCATCACTTCTTGTGAGGTTGATATGTCGCCTCCACCGAAAATATTTAAGCAGGTGCCCTACGATTTCTTTTGTCCATCATTATAATGCGACTTTAACAACAGAATGTGTGCAACTAGTAGGATGTATTTCACATCCCACAGCGGCTTGCTGTTAAAAGGTCAAATGTACTTCTGTGCATTGTGCGCTACAATAAAACATCGTCTAGGGATGCTAATTGGCTCAATGAAGACGAAGTTGATGCAAGTAGTTTACTAATTCCGGAACTCTCTTCTAAGGCTCTCCGGATACCAGTACTAAACGAATCTGAGTGGCTCATATAACTATGAATAGAAGGGTAGTAATTCCAATTAAATTGTTTTTTAAATACCTACCTCTTTCTTCCATTCTTATCAAGAAAATATTTAGGAACTCCTTAAGTGGAGTTACAACATAGTGAGATAACAGATAATAGTAATAATAATATAATAACAATAGAGTTAATGAGATCTGGAAATTCAAATACGAAGACAGACAATACCTATTATTCTCTCTACTACCGGAGTCATTCCAAAGAACCTCATAGAAAACATAAAAAAGCTAGGTCTGAATGAACATCTCTACAAGACCATGCAGATAGCTGTACTACTCTCTACGTCTAGATGTGTACGAAAATTTTTGGAAGATACTCCAGCATACCAAGTCACCTAGGGCTCGATAACACGGAAAAAGTTCTACCAGAGTTCGATCCTTTTGATACGGTATTTATCTGGGATGAGTGAACTTTCCCCTTACAGGGAGTGTGAGCCGTATGGCTAAATCTGGATGATAATAATAGGTAAAAGAATTTTACTATTTTAGATGTAAACAAAAGTAAAATTAAGTTAACGAAAGAAATGAGAACAAAATATTGAGAAAACATTGAAATTATTTCGTGAACATATGACTAAGATAATAGAAAAGCGGATAAAGAAAAGTGGCTTCAAATATGAAAAAATTAGAAAAGAAGCATGACATGTTCAATTTGCAGCACAACAAAGTTTGTGAAGTTTCTGGCTTGCATAATAAGCAAAACACTAATCATTGTTACCATCACAGTTATCATTGATAAATGAGAAATATTTGAAACATGAAGTAATTATATAACAGAATTGTTTCAAGGTGAAAGGCCAAATATACAGAACAATGTAAATCAAGAAGGAGATGAAATTTTAAATCTGAATTTCTTTATGCAATAAAATCAGTGACAGCCAAGAAAACCACTGGAACAGACAACATCCATAAAAATGATCCAAGAGGACCACATCAGTGCTCTAGTTAAGTTTTTTAATTATGTATATAATACTAGTTAAAATAATTGAGGAATGGCTACCGTCTTAAAATAGACTAAATAGACCTAGATGAAACCCAGTTTCGATTTAGGAATGCGCTTCTCCAAGACCAATGTAAATATATTTATGTGGTTTTCATCGATTACGAAAGTGCTTTCCATAGGGTGAAACCTGGAACGCTTTTGAACATATTAAGAACCCAATTCATTGATGGTAGAGACATACGTGTCATAGAAAACTTATATTGGAAGCAGTTGAGTCGATGGGACCAGTGCATGTTACATTCAAAAAGGCGTCATATGGAGATTTTTTTTCTGTAATCGTTGATTTTTTTTCACCTTTCTGTGTCCAGTTATAATCGAGAAAATTGCTAAAAAATACTAAAATCTAATAGTGAAACGTGTTACTCATCATTGTCGCTTAGGTTCAACGTTATCGCCTTCGTGACTTCAAATCTCATGAGCGTACGGTCAGTTAGTTCGTGTTAAAACTAATTTGAATGGAGAGTAATGCATTTGTTGCCCGTTGGCCGACGCCACTGAGTAAAGATAGTCTCGCGTTAGCAGTGTAAGTGATACGCCCATTACAAATCGCAGTGTGCTTGAACTGCTAAAACAGCCTTAGTATAACATAATACTTTTACTCGATTTAGAACAGTATACGTATATGTATACCATAACATTTTTAGAAAATTCCAATTGAAAGAATATAGCAATACAAACGAATCCGTTCTGATTTTCGAGTGACGACTTGCAGGGAAAATCCATTACAGGTTAGAAAATTCAGGATAAGGTCTTGGAATATTGGAAGTCTTGCTGGTAAGACTATGGAGTTAGTAGATGCTCTTAAAACTAGAGTCCACTTTACAAAGTAAAAGATACGCGGTGGAACGAAGAAAGAACTAAAAAACTAGGTGAAGGACACAAATTGTGGTATGATTTTTCGACCCATTTCAAATTCCTCATATTTGTTACCAAAACTCAAAATTGAAATTTGATATTATAGGTCATCAAGATTTGTCTTTAAAATGGAAATTCCACTACGACCGGTCAATGGAAGCGATAAATTTTATTTAATAATTTTATAAAAACTGACTTCATTTGCGGCAAAATATAAAAAGTGTATACGAAGGTCGCTTCAAGTGTTATTTATGAGAGAATGGTTGATTTTAGGCAAACAGTGCTAATAAACAGGAAAAGGGAAAAGTAACAGCTTAACTCTACAATACACGGAAGACAGGGCAATGCTCCTTTAATGCGCGGCGATGTCAATTTTATCCAAAATAATTTGTAACCGAACATTCGGTAGTATAGAGAGGTTAAATTAAACTCATTTTAGAAAGACAATAAACAATTTTGGTATTGATATGCATAATAACTGTAGATCCAATAAACTTAAAATGTCTGGGAATATTGCAGTAACTATACCTACGCTTATGTCCTTAAATGTCGTTTTAATGTATTTTCTCACACACTAATAAAATTAAAATTAATTTTCGTTAAAATGTGTTAGGTTTTCACGTCCATCGTCTAACTTAGATTTGTTATTAAATTGTTTGTTCGGGCTGTTAGGCCGTTGTCTAACATTTCGCCAATACTAGGGATTGGTATCTTCTGGAAATGTTACTGCTTCACTTGCAAGTGAATCAGTACCATGCAACTATAAAAAATTAATAATTTATAACACTGTTAATTTTTCGATTATGCTGTACTTGGAAGTCTAAACAAAAATATCTGAATCTTTTTTAGGATTCGTTTTTCTCTACATATATGGTTCGTTTTTAAATAAATCCTTATATTCTAATGTATTATAATCCTCCCATCTAATTAGTTTGAATCAAAAAAATGTCATGTTATTACTTCCAGTGAAAAAATAACTTATATCGAGTAAATTCTTACAATTTTTCATAAATTTCTCATAAATTAAAAAGCTTGAGGAAGAATATACACATAGCTTGAATTTTAAGTATCTAGTCTTGAAGGGAGTAATGAAGTTTAACAAATATTCAGGAAAAATAAAAGAATGTTTTAAATTCCACAACGTCAAAAAATGAACGCGTATTAAATTCGAAATAAAAAAACCGGAGATAAATTTGCCATTGTCTTAAACCAAATTTTAACAGAAATAAGCAAAGGAGAAGTCTAAGTACTAATACAGTGTCATTTGTAAGTTTTATTTC